TTCCATTTTAGCCAACTTCTTTCCACTTTTCACACAAATCCACCACGTGACTGCACCGGTTACACCGAGAGCATCTGGTCTTTGCACCGAACGCCAAAAAACGCAGTTTAGCCAGCCGGCACCAAGCCACCCGGAAGCAGGCAGCAAAGCACCAATCACAAGCGAGGTAACTAATGCCAAGGCCGTGATTAACCTAAGCTGACCATGGCGGCGAAAGTATCTGATTGTCGGTGGCTGGCATCACCACACCCAAGCCTGCTCGCTCGGCCTCGTCGCATCTCTATCGATGGAGACGACCATTATGCACATGCATCTCAAGGTAAGTTCAGTCGTATATTTCACTGCACATCTTTTATTTCTCGCACAGAGCGGCCAGTGTTGTCAAACAGGGACGAAGCATGTTCCAAACCTTGCCCTCCCTTGGCCAATTGCCAACTGTTTTTGCCGCTCTCTGATGCACGTTGCAAGTGTTTCCGTGGCGATGAAGCAGGCAGCGTGCTTCCTGTATTCTTGTATGTATGATAAATGCGTACCTTCACACACTGACCACGCCCTCTCACAGTCTATACGACTACGGTATTTCTTCCCACAAACCAACTGCACTTTATTATCATTAATCAATATGCACCATTCGTTGATCCATTTGTTTGTCTTTATTCCATTGCTGCTGTACAGGCCTGCCGAACCGATGTCACACGACCCCACCCCACCCCACCCCACCCCACCCCACCCCCTGGCTCCCCCTCCCAATCATGCTGCATAAAAATGCAAAAATAAATTAATTGTGTCATCCAATATTACTCCTTTAACATCATTTCTTTAAAAAAACCTAACGATTGTTAATTGACATTGTTCTATTCGTGTTACCACTTGATTGTAACCATGGTAACAGTTCTGTAATTATTTCAGTATCATGAACCAGGAAAAGTGACATTCATTGAAACCTTTACATCTAAATTTCCATGAAATTTATTTTTGTTGTTGGTTTCCAAGGTATCAGAGTATTAAGATTTGTAGTGTCATTATGATTAATCTTGTTTTGGCTGTGAATCACTTGTGCTCATTGTGTTGGACATTGTTGCAGACCCTCACCAAGATGGCTCTGTTGCCGCCGACACAATCACCTGACACAACTTACCACAGCCCCTGATATTTTCTTCTTTATGGAACATTGTGAAAGGTAGGTTATTTTATACCTAGGTCTCATTGTACTCAATAATATTTGTCATGTGGTGTACTGTATTTGCAGTATGAAGCACCCTGCTCCTACAATAGCAAGGATGTATCTAGAATTCCAAACAAGCTGCTCTTGCCAGGCAATTTTGGGGAAAAATTGTGATATTGTTCAAAATTTGATTTTTGTAATGTAACATTTTTGTTCTTTCTGAGGAATTGTGAAATTTTAATTGGGAATTTGTACAGTCATTTGCTGCAGACTTGGGGCTGAATATAGGCCTCTGGGCATGTCTTGATAACCCCGAAATAGATTTACATGACAGGTCCGTTTTGTGTGAATATGACAGCAATGGTGATGGAGTGACTGTCAGCAATGCAGTTTACTTGTCCCAGCTTAGTTAGCGCTAATTGGCTCAGGCTGTCGATTGTGGCTCTCATTTCACATTTCACAGGTATGTGTTCCTCTTCAATCCTCAGGGCAAGTTGTGTTTGTGTTAGGCTAGGTTAACCACAACTCTCTATTAAACCCTTTCCCATGAAGTAGCCCTTTATGATCATTAGGGTTAGGTACCCCTTTATGATCATTAGTGTGGGGTACCCCATCATCAACATGATCAAGCAGCCCTTTATGATCATTAGGGTTAGGTACCCCTTTACGATCATTAGTGTGGGGTACCCCATTCCAATCAACATGATCAAGCACCCCTTTATCATCATTAGGGTTAGGTACCCCTTTCCGATCAAGAACCCCTCTACTATCATTAGGGTTAGGTACCCGGTTTCCATCAAGCACCCCTATACAATCCTTAGGGTTAGGTACCCGGTTTCCATCAAGCACCCCTATACAATCCTTAGGGTTAGTTATGTGAAAGGGCATGGGTTAGCTATCTCTTTTACTTGATCCAAAGTAATTAATGCAAAATCTTTACCATTATTTTCAAGTTTCGAGCACCGCAACATCTCTGACAACAAATGTAACTTGTGGTTGGTTTCAATAAACTTTGTCAATTTGCCAAACTTCCGGGGCGTTTACTACGGCTAACATTTAGTCCTATGTTATGTTTTTTGTTTCAATTGTCTTGCAAACATGGCAAGATATCATACAAAGGATTCCAGAGAATCACTTCATTTTCAGGAGAAATGTAGATTTGCCATAGTTTCGTAGACTTGCTTGGGAGCTTTCTGATATTTCTTCTTCAGTGTCTGTAGGAGAGACGAGTGCTGTTGTTCCTGATTAAGTATGACACCAAGTGTTTCAGCACTACTTGTCCATATACCATGTCAATATACCATGTCCATTTACCATGTCCATTTACCATGTCCATTTACAATGTCCTAGACTTGATTATGTACTGCCGTGGTGAGGCTGGAATATTGCCGAAACTTTCATTCACTCACACACATGCTTACAAGACCGGCAGAGTGGAAGGTCGATGGTTCAATCCCCAGGTGGTCGTTTCATTCCAAAAGATGGTAAAGGATGGTACTTGTTGTGAGGGTTAGGGTTAGGGAAACCTCAACGATGGTTTATGTGGCTGTGTTATGTTGGTTACATACCGAGGTCCAGTTCATCAAGAACTTGTCTGTGGTTGCTTTCAGTCTTGTTATGAGTCTATGTGGTATGGGTGGCACAGTTGGTTGCTTTTTCAATTCAACTGTGCAGAGTTGTGTCCCTTAGGCATGCCTGCCAGGGAGAGAAAAGTTGGTGGTTCGAAATAATCTTGTCTCTCTTTAAGACCCCAGATCATATAAAATCACCCCCATTCTGTTCCACCCCTCATCCCTTCTCAGCTCCATTGGAGAGTACTCATCCCCTTCTCAGCTCTATCAGCCTGTAAGACATCATTCTCTCTATGACATCATTCCCACTATGATGTCATGCCCTCTATGACATTGTTGCCTCTATGACATCATTCTCCCTATGACAACATTCCTATTATGACATCATTTCCATTATGACATCAAACTCTATGACATCGTTCCCTCTATGACATTGTTCCGTCTATGATATCATTTTCTCTATGACAACATTCTCCCTATGACATCATACTTAATATGACATCATTCTCTCAATGACATCATCCCCTCTCTGCCATGTTGGTGATGAGAGGGAGGGATGGATGGAAATGGTGAGCCATTTCAGAACAAACTCTGGCTGTGAATGGGCCCAGGGTATATAACAGAATAAAAAGGAGATAACATACACTGGGTAATTGGGGGAGTTGAATATAGGCTTGTTTTGTAAATCCATTTTATTTAGAAACTGAACATGTGTTGGTACAACATGCATGGTGTATGAATGTGATGTGGTAAATATGCAACTCCTGTTTAAATATAAATATAGATATAATTCTTTTCAATTTGGGGATGAAAAAGATTTTTTTGAAAACTTGCTTTTCAGTTGTAAGGATGTTCATTAAGTTTAAACATTTCTTGTTTTATGTGCAAACATTGATTGGAAATGTGGATGTTAAGCATTATTCAGATGAATAGAAGTATCACGTGAATAAATTATAGATCTTAGATGTTTTGGTTTTCTAAAGATCACCAAAATGTGCCAATCTCATTAAAATCAGATCTTAGTGCTCGCTACACAAAGATCTGAAGACATCCCATTACAGGTCATGTCGGAATGAGCTTTTGCGAACTTTGACCCAACAATGAAGTGACTAACAAGAAGTTGACATTAGCCAATCAGAAAGCAGAATTCTGAAGCTTTACAGCACTAGTATCAAACTGACAATTTCTGTTCCAGACTGCGCTTCAAAAATATCGATTCAAAATTTGAAAAGTGAATGAATGAAAATTCTGGAATGTCTAATAGATGGCTAAGATGTTATGGCATGGGCTGTGAAAAGTCCCTTGTTTCAATTGTTTATCCCATTGAAGCGAAAGACGGACGATGATTTTGAAGGAATCCTTCGTACAGCCCGTAACTGTCATTTCGGAATAAGCCATGTTAACCTTCTCAAAGCAGCATGATTAAAACAATGTTCTGACTGTCACTGTACCAGTCTGGTAAACGACACTTTGATTGGTCAGATGAAATGTGGTTCTGACGTGTCCCATAATGGATGTCCTCAGATCTTCGCTTAGCGGCAGATCTTCTTTTAATGAGAATTTGATAAATCTGCTGAAAGAGCGGTAGTGTAAGTTTTACTCCTGTTACAGATCATGTGTTAGTGTATTTGTTGTTTACATATGAATATGGATATTGAGTTTTTGGGACATCACAGCTTGTTAGGGATGTTTCCTGTTGCATGGAACCCTGCTATTCTTGCATGACACTTGGCAATACTTTTCTTTTTTGAGCATAGGGGGAAAAAAATTGTTTGGGTAAATTATTTTCACTTCAGATATTTGTGATGAAAATTAATGTAAAAAAAGTTATAGAGGATGTTCAGATCATTTAAGAAACTTATGTTTAAAATAAAAAAATAAAAGTTAATTTTATTTTGAAAATGTAAATATATATTTTGACTTTAGATAATAAATATTTAATAACATACACTACTGTACACAGTATCAAAATATTCAATTTTGTTTCTGTTTGATGTGAAATTGTTCTGTATTTTCCATTAAGGCTAAACAAAGATTTTGGGTCCTCAGGATGTAATTTACAACAGATTGTTTTTTCGTTTGAAAAGAAATACTCCTAACATCATCCATTTGTCTTGAAGTAGAACAAAGACCTCTCATGATGGTGATGGATGCAGATTTTAAATGTCTTGGGAACCAAGAATAGAATTTTTAAGGAAGTCCAGCATGCAAGCACGCTGTGGTTTTAGATGTGCATGATGTCTATGTCTGTTTTCTGTGTGCAGAGTTAGGGCCTTGAGTGTTTGCGTACTATTAACAAATCACAATGAAGTCAGATGCTACTTGTCAGAAAACCACTGTTGAGTTAGTTTTATGTTCTAGCATCAGTCCTGTGGACACCACTAGAATCTCCATTCGTTACGTACCTGTGTTCATGGTGTACAATGTCGTGGTAGCATGTTTACATATTTTGCTGTCGTGCAAAGTATCATAAATGTGACCTATATTTTGATAACAATCATAATAATTTTTACATTTTTATATCCAAGTTTAAAAATTGAAATCATTACTATTAATCATCCATGTTCTTCCACAACCAGTATCAGTAAGATCAATTTGATCAAATTTTCTCTACATGATCAAGTGGCAGTTGAAATTTTGAAAGTTTTCATCTCATCAACATTTTATAGTTTAACATTATGTGTGATCTACCCAATTTTGCCGGTTCATCTAGAGTTGCAGCAGCATCATTGCATCATGTACTACATCCAGGATGTTTGTTTCCGTCACTAGCCATCTGTAAGCTTTCTCCAGCGGCCATTTTGAAAGTGTAACTATCTGTTGTAGTCTGGAGGTTCACACGGAGAATTACGTATGTGAGGCTGGGGACGGCCCGGCTCGCCTGTATGTATGCTAACATCATCTTGCTCTAACCCCTGCCTTCCTCTCAGCCTAGCCCCTTTCACTGCCTTTGTGTACCTGGCCATCTGTTAAAGTGCTGACTGTTGCGTTGTACCTGCTCCTGATATTAACCTGGGCCCTGTTCCACAAAGAAGGGTTAGAAATGAATTTATTTTCATTTATTTTTTAAAGTGATCTGGTCCGGAGTTGCTATTTACCTATTGGTTAAAGTGGTAGTCCACAAGGAAATGTCACTTGTCCTTCCTATATTTTACTCACCCTGTACTTCTGTACTTACCGGCATGTTCATTTCAAACCCTTCAAGGTGTTCGTAGTGATAAACTATTGTAGCTCTTTTGATTAACACTGACTTATGGGTGTATTACAGCTACGAACACTTTGTGGATTGGGGCCCTAATATTCAAGTAGTAAGAATTCAGTGGTCAACGTCATGGTTTGGAAAATGTTACAATATCCTTTTTCAGTGTCCAAAATGTATGATTAAAGTCCAGGTGTCCTTGTCATGACACTTTAAATTACAGATTTAGTGGGTCCTGAGAAATTTGTTTGTGAGCAGTAAACCACAAGGACCCAATAGCCCCCCTTGTCTAACTCTGTGAGTGGAAATTTTGAATTTTCAGTTTGATTGCCTCTGGTATTTCTATAAGTATTAAGTTTCCAAGAATGGAAATATGATAATCTTTAAGAATCATGTTTGATCAGTCAGGTCTCTAGACTGCCTCCGTGCTCTCGTGGTAGAGCGTCCGCCTGGAGAGCGGATGGTTGGGGGTTCCATCTCCTGCCGCGTTGAAAGATGGTACTTGTTGTTTCCCTGCCTGGCACTCTGCATTAAGGGGCTAAAACAAGGACTGGTCAGCTCAGTCAGTAAACTGTGTCTGAGTGGGGTATTCATGTTAAACTGTGGCATGGTACCTCAGTGGCCTAGCACTATAAACTCGGCATTGGTCCCGTACCTAGTAACCCCCCCTCCCATATGCATGCACGTTGCTTTATAAGTGCAATAATCTTGGACGCAACGTTAAACCCCACTTCGTCTCACCTCACCTAGTATAGTTACTACCCAACTGAGAACATAAGACAACAAAATGAATGAGGGCTTGTGCAAAGAAAGTCTGTGACTTTAGCCACTAAATTTATTTTGGTCTGGTAAGCTTTGCTGATAAAGTCCATTCATTAACACTAAAATCTACTGAAAATGATGTCATGAGACAAATTCAGACCAGCAGACTCACACGTTTTTGGAACAGGTCGCAAAAATCTGGATAATTTTCATAGAATGTGTTATTGTAAACAACTTGAATTTATATTCAGCACAGTGCTCACTGCATGTATGACTAGTTTTTGGGGAAAGACTTTGGTAATTGTTGAGCCTAGGACAAAGGCCTGGAGGGGCAGAGTGCATGTTCCCTGTAGTCGTGCATCCTGACCCTGGACTCACTGGGATGTAACCAGGCATCCAAGCATACGTAGAAGTATACCATATTTTACCCCAAAATTGTTACCAACCCCTTTGTTTATCTGCCTAATGTCAACGTGATCTATTTGTGCTGACCTATGTGATAGAGCTTTAAAGAGCTTTTAGCTTTGGGTTTGGTGTTAACATCGCTTTGAACAATATTCCAGTTATATATCCCGACATGTCAGCTTTGGAGGAAAGCCCGAAGTGATGCAGGTCTTAGACGTTTACCACTTTGGTGAAACCCACGAGCACGGGTATGGTGCTGACAAACCTCGAAACTTTATTGATGTGAACCGGGATTCGAACCCACAATCAAAGGTTTCTGGCATGTCCAAGGGATGCAACTCTTCACATCAGGCTGACACACCGTGATGTAACTGGAATACTGTTTAAAGCGGCATTAAACCCAACTCACTCTCTCACTCGGATTGTGCAGGTGATAACATGACAGCAGCAGTTGTATACAATGTTATGATAGTGAGGAGTCATTCAGTTTTGGAAGGAACCATTCTGGACAATGATGGAGGCATAGGCAACACAGTCATCTAAGGTGCCGCAAATTGCTATGCAGAGTTGCATCCCTTAGTTGTGCCAGAATCTAATGATCGTATGTTCAAATTCCAGATTTCCTTTTATCGTTTTTATTTTGTCAGCACCACTCTCATGAGTTTCACAGAAGTCTTTGAATGGAGTTTAGAAGTGAAACACATAAGGAGAGAATTTATGGATGTCAACTTCTTCATTATGAGGAACACAATGTTTTGGAGTATATACTTACCCCTTCATCAGGTGAATAAATTCTATGAAGCAGAGTTTTATATGTACCTGTAAGATCAAAAGTCTCTAGCTAATCACCTATCAATTAGCTGTTGGCTTCCCTTGTTAAGTTTCCACCTTTGTAATGTTATTACTTTTGTTGTTCTTACAGGTACATATATATGTTCTCTGCATTTATTTACCTGATGAAGGAGTAAGTATATACTCAGAAATGTAGTGTGCCTCATAATAAAGAAGTTGACATAAAAAGCAGCGAATTGCGGCTCCTTAGGCGACTGGGCCACTTGGCCCCCGGGTATGTTCAGAGCCTGCTGCACCCTGGGCTTTCCTTCCACATCAAGAGACCCGTGAAGATCTTGGTTAGAATTGGTCTTCAGCAACCCACGCTTGTCATTAGAGGCGACTAACAGGATTGTGTGGTCAGGCTTGCTGACTTGGTTGATGCATGCTCATGATGTCAATAGCTGGATTGTCTTGTCCAGACACGATTATATAACGACTGCTGTCATATAACCGGAATATTGCTGAGTGCGGCGTTAAGCAACAAACAAAACGAAAACAAAAACAAAATCACATGTCAAGCTTACCTGGCTTGATATTACAAATGTAAACGTTCACAGCAGCGTTAAGTCCAACCCACTCACTGTGGACAATGCCAAACTAGAAAGGAGGTCTGGTACTGTGTTATAGTTATGGTGTGGACTATTGCTCACTTTCTTCGGAGCTAGAACTGAGCAACGGTTCAACCAGCTGGGATGGGGCCATGAGCAACAAATACTTTTCAGTCACATTTCGTCTACTTGAGGATCATTCCAGAAAGAAATGCTGACATTAGACGTTCGACTGAGACTCATGTTCCCAGGCAAGTGTGTCCACTAGCCTATATCAAATCCTAGTTTCTACAAGACTTTGATAAAAAGGCTAGTGGACGAACACTCTTGCCTCGGGAAGATAACTGAGACTTGACAGAATTTACTTTGAATTGGAAAGAAACTGGTGATTTTGAGACCCTCTGAAGTTCCTGGCGTGCTTGTTGTTCCTGTGGAGCTACTCTCTCTCTCACTTCATTACCCCTACAGCTGTTGTGTGCTTCTCACTCTCCTCTGCATGTGTGTAGGACTCAGATCTACGGCTCGTCTCTAATCCATGGCAGTTTGGCTAATACATGGCAGAAATATACAATATGCAAATATACTCATTGTCATATGACTTCAAGAAGATGTCAGTTCCTGCATGTCATTCCTTCTATGATGTAATTTCCAATATGACATCATGCCGACCATGACATCATGCCCTTTATGACATCATACGCTCTGACATCATGCCCTCTATGACATCATGCACTCTGACATCATGCCCTTTATGACATCATGCACTCTGACATCATGCCCTTTACGACATCATTCCATCTAAGACATCATTCTCTCCCTGACAACATTCCCACTATGACATAATTCTTTCTGACACCATTCACACTATGACATCATTCCTACTATGTCATCATGCTCTCTATGACATCATTCCCACTTTGGTGTCAAGTCCTCTATGTCATCATTCACTCTATGACATTGTTCTCTCTATGACATCATTCCCACTATGACATTCTCTCTGACATCATTCCCACTATGACATCATTCTCTCTGACATAACTCCTACTATGACATCAGTCCCACTATGACATCATTCTCTCTATGACATCATTCCCACTATGATGTCGTGCCCTCTATGACATCGTTGCCTCTATGACATCATTTTCTCTGTGACAACATTCCCACTGTGACATCATTCTCCCTATGACAACATTTCTATTATGACATCATTTCCTTTATGACATCAAACTCTATGACATCATTCCCTCTATGACATTACCACTATGACAACATTCCTTCTGTGACATCAAACTCTCTTTAACAAAATTCCCACTATGACAACATTCCCTCTATGACATCATTCTCTCTATGACATCATTCCCACTATGATGTTGTGCCCTCTATGACATTGTTGCCTCTATGACATCATTTTCTCTGTGACAACATTCCCACTGTGACATCATTCTGCCTATGACAACATTCCTATTATGACATCATTTCCATTATGACATCAAACTCTCTATGACATCATTCCCTCTATGACATTACCACTATGACAACATTCCTTCTGTGACATCAAACTCTCTGTAACAAAATTCCCACTATGACAACATTCCCTCTATGACATCATTCTCTCTATGACAACATTCCCTCTATGACATCATTCCCTCTATGACATCAAACTCTCTATGACAACATTCCCACTATGATGTTGTGCCCTCTATGACATCGTTCCCGCTTTGACATTGTTCCGTCTATGACATCACTTTCTCTATGACAACATTCCCACTATGACATTTTCCCTGTGACATCATACTTAATATGACAACATTCTTTCTATGACATCATTCTCTCTATGACAACATTCCCACTATGACATCATTCCCACTATGACTATGACATTCCATCTGTGACAGGCCCACTATGATGTAATTCCTTTTGTGACATCATTCTCTTAATGACATCCTTCCCTCTGTGACATCCTTCCCACTATTATATCCTTTCTTCTATGATGTCATTTCCACTATGACATCACTCCCTGCATGACATCATGCCCTCTGTACCATCATTCCCATATTAACCTTACTCCTACATGATATGATAGAGGGGATGACATCATAGTGATGCACCATTATCAAGGGATGCAGCATCGGTTTTCTGGTTCAGATTCTATCTTGTTTCTCCTATTCTACCTTACACCTGTCACCTTAACTCTCACTTAATATTTTAGAGTTAAGAAGTCGATATATATACAACGTACATCTTCATCATTCATGAGGATTGTAGCCATGCAAATAAGTTCTGCCAAATATGAAAAAAATGTTCCATAATTCTGAGAATCCCCTGTGGATCCGAGTCCCTCGTAGATCTGAGTCTTTCACACCTGATCTAGCACTCCTCAGTGTAGTTTGCATATAGCCCTAGTCTCGACAGTAGCCTGTGTCTAGTTGCCCTGATTTAGTCCAGTAACCACTTTAGTTTGCAATTCAAAGTACCATCATGCTTTTATATTTTAGTTTGACACTGTTAAGAATTTGAAGTGATAATAATTTTCCTATTCAGGGAGCATTTGGATGTCTGTAGTAGAAGACGCCTGTTCTCTCAGTCTCCGAGACAGTTAATCAGTATTGAGCAATTTGAACAAAAAAATATCATTGATGCCAATTAGAGACTTTGATGTCAAATTGGAGCCATTGTTGTAGATTGCTGTGAGTGAGACATACAAACCCAAATGCTCCCTGAGTTAGACAAGTTTATTTCAGGGATCACAAGGCTGTGGGAAGACGACCATTTGACAAAATGGCAACACTGTTGGCGTATCTGGGCCCCCCAGAGCATCGGCCCCTAGACTCTCAGTGAGTGAACTGTCTCCTTTGTAACAATGTTTCCTCCAAATAATGTCAAGTGCCAGCATATTGAGTGTATGCAGGGTGGATACCAAATTTTTAGAAGATGTGGTACACATGACCATATCACCATAATGTATGATAGGTAGGGTGTGTTTGGGTGTCGGGTGGGTGGGTTTGGGTGTCGTGTGGGTGGGTTTTGGTATCGGGTGGGTGGGTTTGGGTGTCGTGTGGGTGGGTGGGTTTAGGTGTCGTGTGGGTGGGTTTGGGTGGGTTTGGGTGTCGTGTTGGTTTGGGTGTCGTGTGGGTGGGTGGGTTTGGGTGTTGTGTGGGAAAGGACGTCGTGTGGGTTTGGGTGTTGTGTGGGTTTGGATGTCATGGTTAGTCTTTACTCTCCTTCATGTGTCTGAGAAGTGTCAGCAACACTTCAAAATCAGGTTTTACATCCATGAATCTAAGTTTAGTTGGAAACCCAATACTATTCCAAGGAGACGGTGTGAAGCTCATTTCTCGTGTACCCCCCTCCTGCGATATGGCTGGAATATAGCTGCATATGATGTCAAAGATCATTCACTCTGCTGCCACCCGTGACGATCCGGGATAGAATTGGTCTTCAGCATGGTCTTCCATGCTTGTCAGAAGAGGCAACTATTGGGATCGGTTGGTCAGGCTTGCTGACTTGGTTGATGCATGTCATCAGATTCCAATTCCACTGGATTGTCTGGTCCAGACTTGATTATTTACAGACTGTTGTCATGTAGCTGGAATATTGCTGAGTTAAACAACAAACAAACAAACAAACAAACACTCAGGTGCCATCATATCCATATTGCATCGATGAATGCTGACACACCTTTCTGCCACTGGTGTACTAGCAATGCAGAAGACCCTCATTTCCTCTTGAAGACCTGGGCCCACTTGCACAAATTAATCTTAGCGCTAAGACTATCGTAAGCCTATGTTAAAGTATGGGAGTTACGGTCATCTTAGCGCTAAGATAGCTTTGTGCAAGTGGACCCAGAACAGTAGTGTTGTTACAAGGAAATAGAACTGTTCGCTAGATGTGTTTCTGCAGGTTTGGGATCTAGCTTGCTTCTCATTGCTTATGTAGCCCACATCTTAACATTAGTTATCAAACAGTCCCCATGTCTCACAGAAAACTAAATAGAGTCATTATATCATCATCATCATCATCATCATCATCATCATCATCATCCTACATACACCTGTTGGGATTCCAGTGCCCACTTGCACAAAGTGCTCTTAGCGCTAAGACCAACGTAAGCCTATGTTAAAGCATGGGAGTTTCGATCATCTTAGCACTAAGATCGCTTTGTACAAGTGGGTCCAGGTAAGAACACAGGTCCCCAGTAACCTATGCTTGTCGTTGAAGGCGATCGGGTGGCCGGGCTCTGTGGCTTGGTTGATTGCATGTCATTGTATCTCTTTGTTGTGTGGATCGATGCTCATGATACCAATCACTGCATTGTCTGGTCCAGACTCGATTATTTACAGACAATCTATAGCAGATATATTGTGGAGTACAACCAAACAACAAACAACAATCTTTGAGCTTTTAGTAGGCTAGGAGATAAAGTGTTCATCATGGCAAAGTCTTGGGTTGGATTCTGCCACACTAGTAATGTGTGAAGCCGATTATTGCTGTTGCCATCCATGATATGGCTGGAACATGGCTGAAAGTGTTATAAAACTCAGTGTATTTCAAAGAGCTAATAAGGAAGTGAACACATACCAATTTTCTTTGTATGTTCTTGTAGACAATATATTGATGTGTGGTCGCAGGGATGAACGTTACATTAATTTATTAAGGCAGTATCATCAAAATAGAATTCAGCACATGGAAAGGTCATATAGATTTTGGTTACATTTAAATAAGTGGTTTAAAATCTGTGATATAATTGGTCTTCAGCAACCCTTGCTTGTCATAAGGGGCGACTAATGGTCAGGTTCTCTGACTTGTTGCTGTATATCATTGTGTCCAGTGTGATCAATCACTGGATTGTCCAGACTCAATTATTTACAGACCTATGTAATTTCATGGAATATTGCTGAGTGCAGTGTTATACCAGAAACTAACAAAACGAACAGTGGGAATAACGGAGGTTTTGTTTCAGTCTTAGGTTCGTAAGGGACACAGCTACACATTGAACCCCTGTGGAATCTGGATCAGAGAATGTCCTCAGCAACCTATCGTTGGTCATAAGAGGTGACATGATAGTTGGCTGGGGGAGGGGGCACTTATTGGAGCTGGTTGCTTTTAATGCACAGTCAAAAAGTTACAGCCCTTCTCATATTGTCCTATAACTTTATTATATTTATATATTAATTGGTTAGTGTTGGCAGGAGAAAAGTGTTCAAAACATTTCTTCTTTTCCAAATTTGTAAAATCTTGGGTTGAATGAATGGTAGACCAAGCTCTTAAAAAGGAAACCAGCAACAGAGACTGGAAATGTGAGGTTTCTGCTGATGATAAATGTCAGGCATTTACAATAGATGAACACTACTTTTTGTCTTTTTTTATATTTTTAAGTTTTTTTCCTCAAATTATTCTTCTTGATTTCCTCAAAATGTTAAGTAGTTTTTAAGATAAATTTTCAATAGGTTTTAATGATAGTATTTGAAATATTTTATTTAGTTTGATAGCGACTTATTTTGCTACATTTTACTTATTTCAGGTCAGAAGAATTAAGAAACCCATTGCATTTCAATTTTATTTTTTTCACATTTCAGTTTTGGGAGTCGGTGGATTCGTAATCCAAGTTTGAAAAATGTCTGGCCCTAGTAAGGTTGCCAATAACGTATCGCTGTAGGGGTGGTTGGGTAGATTTGTGGTCATAGTGTTGGTTCGGCACACCAAAGGCCTGGGTTCCACTCGCCACCTGGGTAAAATGTGTAACACCTTTGATATGGCTGGAATAATGGTAAAACTTTCTCACTTGTATAACTGCTACATGTATTTCCTTCCCTTGTCTGCCACAAGGTGGAGCAGTATGGACATGACAAGCACCAAGTTTGAGGAGATCATGTCCAAGCACAACATGCACGAGAAGGATGAGTTCAAGTCTCTGAAGAACCAACACATCTTCTATCAGGCAGGAACGAGCAAGGGAGGAAATCCTGTCTTCTACTACATCGCCAGGAGATACAAGTCAGTAACTGCTTGGGTCTCCAGTTTAAAATTGGAAACTTAGAATACTCATTTCTACTGGGTATTTACCAGCGGTGTTCATGTATTCATGTTTTGTGATCTTTTGACTTTCTATCCATCCGTAAAACATCTGGTGTTGCCAATGTTGCTTCTTCCTTCAAAGACTGGGGTGTGGCGGGTGGCGGGGGCAGTCGCCTAAGGTGACACAATTTGCTGTGTAAAGAGTTCATTTGTACCTTGGGCACACCAGAAACCTATGATGGTGGGTTAGAATGCTGGTTCGCCCTGATAGTGTTTCTAGGTCAGTACCATCGCCATGCTCGTGGGCTTCACCAAAGTGGTAAAAGTGTGAGACCTGCGTCACTTCGGGCTTTCCTCCCACATCAAGCTGACCCGCTGTGATATAACAGGAATAGTGTTCAAAGGGACTCTAAAACCAACTCCCTCACTCCTGTTTCAGAGTTGGTGAAATTAATGGTGATCTTCTGATCTACCACGTGCTGCTCACTCTCAAGCCCTTCTACCACAAGCCCTTCGAGCTGGTCATAGACTTCACCCACACATGCTCTGAGAACCGATTCAGGGTAAGTATGGTATGTTCCACTGTTTATTCTCCTGCATGATCTTCTCTGCATGATTGGTGGTGAGTGCTGCTCTGCATGATTGATGAGTGCTGCTCTGCATGATTGGTGAGTGTTTCTCTGCATGATTGGTGAGTGCTGCTCTGCATGATTGGTGAGTGCTGCTCTGCATGATTGGCGAGTGCTGCTCTGCATGATTGGTGAGTGCTGCTCTGGATGATTGGTGAGTGCTGCTCTGGATGATTGGTGAGTTCTGCTCTGCGTGATTGGTAAGTTCTGCTCAGAATGATTGGTGATTGCTGCTCTGCATGATTGGTGAGTTCTGCTCTGCATGATTGGTGAGTTCTGCTCTGCATGATTGGTGAGTGCAGCTCTGCATGATTGGCGAGTTCTGCTCTGGGTGATTGGCTAGTGCTGCTCTGGGTGATTGGCTAGTGCTGCTATGCATGATTGGCGAGTGTTGCTCTGCATGATTGGTGAGTGCTGCTCTGCATGATTGGTGAGTTCTGCTCTGCGTGATTGGCGAGTGCTTCTCTGCATGATTAGTGAGTTCTGTTCTGCATGATTAGTGAGCTCTGCTCTGCATGATTGGTGAGTGCTTCTCTGCATGATTAGTGAGCTCTGCTCTGCATGATTGGTGAGTGCTGCTCTGCATGATTAGTGCGCTCTGCTCTGCATGATTGGTGAGTGCTTCTCTGCATGATTAGTGAGCTCTGCTCTGCATGATTGGTGAGTGCTGCTCTGCTTGTATGTCTGGTGAAGGTTCCTCCAGAGTATTGTAATATCTAGTAAGCTTAATGCTATATTCTGGTCTTAGTGTGATGGTGACTGGATTTTGTATGAATGCAATGTACCCTGTATGCTAACAAACTAAATATTTATCTGCTTCTTGCTAACATTCTCACCAAGTAAAGCATCAAGTGACAGAATAACTTTAGTAATATGAAAGAACTGAGTGACAGAATAACTATAGTAATATGAAAAAGTATTCTTGAGTGTTCTTTAACTTCTTTGAGTAGTATATGATGTAATGTGCAAATGTTCTTTTCATTATTCTTTCATTTTGTCCTATCAATCAAACTGTAATTTTGATCACCTTCCATTTAAATGTTTTGACTGATGAGGCACTGTGGTACCGTGCCCAGGTTCAAGGGTTGTGTGAGTCTGTCTACTTGTTGTTTGTTTCAGACCGACTTCCTGTCAAAGTGGTTTGTGGTGATGCCAGAGAACGTGTACCAGAACATCGTCGCCGCCTACATCTACAACTGCAACTCCTGGGTACGCGAATACACCAAGTATCACGATCGCATCCTCGCACCTCTACGCGTCAACTATGTAAGTGGATTAACACTTGTAACATTTGTTTAGTTTGTTTATTCTTTAACTCCGCACTCAGCAATATTCTAGCTGTATGACAGCGGTCTGTGATTGATATCATGAGCATCAATTGAGGTACAATGACATGCATCAACCAAGTCAACGAGCTGGGCCACCCGATCCTGTTAGTCGGCTCTTACATCAGGCATGGGTTGCTGAAAACCTATTCGAACCCAGATCTTGACAGGTTTGTAACATTTTTCTTTAGGGATATTACAGTTGTAAGCTAAGTTTTGTTTTTATCAAGCTTGTTGGCTGCTTCCGGTGAATTCACTCAACTTGTTGTGATGGATCATGTTAATTGACCTCGGCAGTAATCTTGAACACAGTTGTAAACCATTTCACCTTTTTCGCCATTTCATCTCAATTTTTTGTCCAAAATGGCAGCCTAATTTGATCAAATGCTGTGGCTTGTTGATCCAGAAGGTGTGATGTGATGTCAAACACTGTTTTTTCTTGCCTAGATTTGATTACCTTTAGGATGCTGTGACATTGTTGGAATATTGCTGACTGGAGTGTTAAACAACAGTCAAACTGAATTGAGCACTTTGATTTTGTTTGATATACTTTAACACTGAGCGGTGTCAAATCCAGGTTCCTCAGTCCTATAACACTCACTCTGAAATGAATTATAAATGTCCACTTCCTTTGAACACCCTACCTCTATTACATCATTGCCATAAGTTCATATTTTGGCTGTCAATCACACTATACATCAATTTAAATTGTCAACAGACGTCCTCTTTGCTGTCAATCTATCTATATAGTTGTGAGGTAAATCCTATCCCTGACAGGAAACGCAACTGCGCATGCGCCGGGTGGGAAACCATCACTTCTTTCCTGTGCGTCCAGATGTAAACAAGCAGAGAAACATTGCTGATCACATCTGAACAATTGGTTACAATCTCACTATACATCTTCAAGTTTGACTATTACTACATCGTACAGTAGCAGCTGCACTTCAAGGGGGTATAAGAATGTAAGCGTCTTTCTTGACAGAACAACCGGAAGCTTAACTTCATCGATCATCCGGCCAAGTTGAACGAATACATCGACCCTGACCAGCAGAAGTTGCCAGGGACAACTGTCTCCCTGGAGGAGGATCTCAGAGTGTTCAACAATGCTCTCAAGCTTTCCCATAAAGACACTAAGGTTGCCATAAAGGTAAACTTTCATTAAATGACTCCGATGCCAACATAGCTTGACTTTTGTAAGATTCTTTTCAAAATGATCAAAGGCACTGAAGATATTTTATCCTACAATAAAGAATACTTTTTGAGTGATGTCATAATGGGGTGACGTCGTGATGCTGTTAAATTTTTAAATATAGAAATAAAAACAAAACATGTGGCAGACCTTATAATGATGCGAGCAGTGCCAAGACTATTATTTTTTTAGCCTTAGTCTTGTCAAGTAATTAGTTGTTATTTCCTGAGAAGAAGTATGGCAGGGGGATGTCAACCAACTCCTATGCTGCAGTGTTAGATAAGTTTTGAAATAAACTTGTAAAATAAATGGTATCTGACCGCCACTGTTGATGTAAGCTCTATGTACCCTCACACTTGTTTGTGTTGCATGTGTATTCCAGGTTGGTCCAAATGCCATCCAGGTGACGTCCTCGGAGAAGAGCAGAGTGTTGGGACACCAGGTTCTCCTTAATGATGTCTACTATGCTGCGGAGATAGAGGAGGTGAGACTGCCACTGTCCATGCTGGGAGACGGCAATGTCTTTGTGTTAACCCACAATTTAGCTTTGTGGTCGGGTTTGTAGAGCCTCTGCCTGCAGAGCAGGTCAGTTTGATATCCAGCTGTATCATTGCAAAAGATGTTAAAAGACTTGTTTTGTTACCTGCCTGGAGCTTGGCATTAAGGGGATAAAATAAGGACCTGTTTCAATATACTGTGTCTGAGTGGGGTATCCATGTTAAACTGAATTCAATCACTGGAAAGTGTGGTCCAGACTCAATTATTTACTGGCTGCTGTCATAGCTAGAATATTGATAAGTGTTGCATTAAAAAGCAAACAAACAAACAAATCATAATATGAATCACTGGTTTGTCTGGTCCAGACTTGATTATGAACATGCAGCCTTGATACACGTGGATTATTGCTGACGGCGAAATTACACACTGACATTGGAACAGTTATGACAGCATTCAGCACTACCCAGCTATTGCTTGTGGATTTAATTCAAAGGTTTGTGAAATGGCAGCGATTTATCATGTCCTAACACAGTGCTCATATTGTCTTCCAGGTGTGTCTAGTAGACGACAATCAGTTCACACTGACTATCGCCAATGAGAGTGGCCCTTTGTCTTTCATACACAATGACTGTGATAACATTGTCCAAGCCATCATACATATCAGGACTCGCTGGGAACTCTCACAGCCGGTAAGATCTAAGTTCATCCAGATAGGTTAACCAACATTTACTTGTGTTATGCTATATTGAATATCTAAATTTGGGCGCATTTTTACATTGCATACAATGCAACAGTTTAAAATTAAGCTTTAAAGCATCTTCATTCCTCTTCATTGGTCCTGTGAGGCGGTTGGGTAGCATAGTGGTTAAAGCGTTCGCTCGTCATGGTGAAGATCAGAGTTCAATTCCCGACATGGGTACAATGTGTGAAGCGCATTTCTGGTGTCCCCCACCGTGATATTGCTGGAATATTGCCAAAAGCGGTGTAAAACCATACTCACTCACTCATTGGTCCTGTTGTTGGTAAAGTACAAGTCTCTACAAAGCCAGTGTAAAAAAAATCCCCAAAACGTCATTCAGACACCCAGACTGGCAACTTTGCAAATTTACCAGATGAAATACTGCCAGTCTAGAATTTTATTACACTAATGAGCACAAGTTATAAAAGGGTAAACATAAGAATAGTACTGTTTATATATATAATTAATGTAACTTCCAAAAAAATACTAATATGGTGGATTGTCAAGTTAGTAACTTTAACTCTTGACCATCAGGCGTGCAACTTTTCAAAACGGACCCTCTGTCATCAAAATAGACTGTCATGGACTGTTGGGCAGGCGGGAGGGGCTGTTATTTGCAACTCTGTTGATTTGTGTGTTTTCCTCCTCAGGACACTGTGGCAGTTCATACAAAGATCCGCCCTAAGGATGTGCCCGGAACGCTACTGAACGTGGTGAGTAAACGTTCACGATATATATCACAGAAACGCTCTTTCACTTTGAATCCTAAAATTTGTGAGAACGTCTGGTAGTAATCACTCTGTACTGTCTGACTGCTATTCTATTTTAGGGGCGGTGGGGTAGGCTAGTGGTTAAAGCATTCACTCATCATGCTGAAGGCCTGGGTTCCATTCCCCACATGGGTAGTTCAATGTGTGAAGCCCATTCTGGTCACTCACTCACTCTTTGCTTTGCTTTGCTTGTGTCCAGGCTCTCCTGAATCTGGGCAGCTCGGACCCCAGTCTCCGGTCAGCTGCCTACAACCTGCTGTGTGCTCTCACCCAGACCTTCGACCTGAAGATAGAAGGTCAACTACTAGAGACCAATGGTAAGAGTGACCTCCCTTAGTAATCATTATTGCAAGCTCCTTACAGCAAGTCTCTAATCTATTGATCATCAGAGTTACCACCCTTATTGACCTTTGCACTCATCAAGCCTTTTTAGAGAATAACTTGATCAGCATTGGTACACTGACCTAAAACTTTTGACATATTTTTGTTATATTTTGAAAAAAAAACTTGACATGAATGGGATGTGGAATAATTTTAGGCAAAGTGAAAATTGAGTGGTTGCAAATGAGTCGTCATGCCGCTCTGAACTGGATTGTTGCTTATGATGTCAACCACTGGCTTACCTCAATCACTTGATTGTCCGATGCAGACTCAATTATTTACGGATTGCCATCATCTTGCTGGAATATTGCTGAGAGCTGAGTTAAGCAACAAAACAAACACTGTTTGATCGTGAGCTGACCCAGGTCATTGACTATTAACAGATTATTGACACGCTGCTGAGACATTGCTGAATTGTTTCTGACTGTTGTGTACGATGCATTTACTCACTCCCTCCTGTACCTTTGTGTGTGCAGGTCTGTGTATTCCTGCCAACAACACCATCTTCATCAAGTCCATCAGTGAGAAGCTGGCGGAGAAGGAGCCGCACCTGACGCTGGAGTTCTTGGAAGAGTGTATCCAAGGTTTTGGGAACTCCAACATTGAGATGAAGCACTTGTGTCTGGAGTACATCACACCCTGGCTGCCCAACTTGACCAGGTATAGTAACAACAGATGCCCTGGTGGGAATTGGGGTTAGAATAGTTCCCCAGCAACCAAACTTGACCAGGTATAGTCACAAAAGTCCTTGTGGGGATTTGGGTTAGAATAGGTCCCCAGCAACCCAACTTGACCAGGTATAGTCACAAAAGTCCTTGTGGGGATTTGGGTTAGAATAGGTCCCCAGCAACCCAACTTGACCAGGTATAGTCACAACAGATGCCCTTGTGGGGATTGGGGTTAGAATAGTTCCCCAGCAACCAAACTTGACCAGGTATAGTCACAAAAGTCCTTGTGGGGATTTGGGTTAGAATAGGTTCCCAGCAACCCAACTTGACCAGGTATAGTCACAAAAGTCCTTGTGGGGATTTGGGTTAGAATAGGTCCCCAGCTACCCAACTTGACCAGGTATAGTCACAAAAGTCCTTGTGGGGATTGGGGTTAGGATAGGTCCCCAGCAACCAAACTTGACCAGGTATAGTCACAAAAGTCCTTGCGGGGTTTTGGGTTAGAATAGGTCCCCAGCAACCCAACTTGACCAGGTATAGTCACAAAAGTCCTTGTGGGGATTGGGGTTAGAATAGGTCCCCAGCAACCCAACTTGACCAGGTATAGTCACAACAGATACCCTTGTGGGGATTTGGGTTAGAATCGGTCCCTAGGAACCTATGCTGGTCGTAAGAGGTGATGAAGTAGAGCGTAGAGACTTGGTTGATAGTGTGTCCTTGTACCCTGATTGCATAGGTCGTTGCTCACAATATTGGTCACTGGGCTGCCATCATATAGCTGGAATACTGCTGAGTGGGGAGGTAAACAAACAAGTAAAACAGAACTCTTGTCATAAAAGCAGAAAAACATTAGGATTTCACCTGTAAAGATCCGGGTGAGAATAGGTCTTCAGCAACCCATGCTTGCCATATTCTGCGACTATTCTTATCGTAAGAGGCAACTAACGGGATCGGGTGGTCAGGCTCGCTGACTTGGTTGATGCATGTCATCGTATCCCAATTACATGGATCGATGCTCATGATGTCAATCACTGGATTGTCTGGTCCAGACTCGATTATTTACAGACTGCCATCATATAGCTGAAATATTGCTGAGTGCGGCGTTAAACAACAAACATCATCATCATCATTATCATCATCATCATCATCATGTTAAACTACGGCATGGTATCTCAGTGAGTAGCACTATAATAAAATGTCTGGATTGATACAAGAAACCACATATACACGTTCACTTTGCTGTGAAAAAATAAAAGTGCAATAATCTTGACATGACATTAAATCCAATTTCCCACCTTACGTAAGCTGTGGATGTCTTTGTAATCACAGGTGTGTTGTTTGTGTCAGGTTCTGTAAGCAGTGTGATGAAAACAAGAGGCAGAAGGTGGCGCTCATACTTGACAAACTCATCACCATGACGATAGAGGAAGAAGAGGTGAGCAATGGCAGTCCTGAAGCCAGTCTCATGTTTGTCTTGTGCAAACTGGAAATCATAAATCAGTTTTCTGATTGAACAGATTTTGTGTATCAATATGAAGGATGCAAAATGATGTTTGATTATAATTTTTTTAAATAATGTTTCACAATCGTTCCAGTAAACATATTAATCAATAGATACTAAATTTCTACTCAAGCAGAGGAACAATTTTGTAGACAAAAATGACATTTGTCCCAGTGCCAAGTGCTTGCCATAATTACACTTAGTTCATGTCATATGTGTTTGAGCTGTGTTATATGTGACCTTCTTCCCCGCCAGATGTACCCATCCATCCAGGCCAAGATCTGGGGCAACATTGGTCAGATCGGGGACCTCCTCGACATGGTGCTAGACAGCTTCATCAAGGTATGGAAAACCAGCAGCACTTCACATCCTGGGATTCAAGGTTGAATATGTCCCAGTGCCCCTTGCTTGTCTTAAGGGTTGACAAAGGCTGACCTGGGTATTCAAGGTTGAATATGTCCCTTGTCATAAGGGTTGACAAAGGCTGATATGGGTATTCAAGGTTGAATATGTCCCAGTACCCCTTGCTTGTCATAAGGGTTGACAAAGGCTGATATGGGTATTCAAGGTTGAATATGTCCCAGTGCCCCTTGCTTGTCATAAGGTTTGTCTAAGGAAAATGGAGTTGTTACAAGGTGTAACCTGGCTCATTATGTGCTCAAATTATTGGTTCATAAAAAATACCGCGGCATTATTCAACATTCATTCAGTCACTCCTTACTCAAACTGATCTGTATGATATTTCACAGGTGAGGATCGATCCAATTCTGAAATGTTTCTCCTTGCACCTTGATTGTATTTATCTTGTCTAGAATGTCAATGTAAGTTTATTTTGTGACGTCAGTTGTTGAATGAGATACGGATTTGACAGACATTTTATGTTGATTGATTTGTTTTCAGAGAAGTGTCACGGGTGGTTTGGGGTCCATACAGGCGGAGATAATGGCGGACACAGCAGTGGCACTCACCTCCGCCAACGTCCAGCTGGTGTCTCGGAAGGTCATCGGTCGCCTCTGCAGGGTCAGTCTCGGTTGTTATACAGCAGGCCTGTAACCAGTGACTACATGGGACTAGATACTTTAGTGTTGTGTGATTAGAGGTTAATTTAATTCTGAATAGTTCATGTGAATATCCTACCTCGATTACATCGCTGCCTAACCCTGTATGTTGTTGTCACCACATGATAAAAATCTTCAGATTTTCAACAGAAGTCCTCTTCACTGTCAACTATTCACTGACAGTTGTGCAGACAATAGTGTCCTACTGCTAAGTGCTGTTTCAAGCGCAAGGCGGGAAATAACTACTTTCCTGTGTGTGCTATGTTAATTTGAATTTGAATTTCATTTTAAATGATTGCATAATAGCTTTTTGTGTTGGAATAATAGCTGTTAAGAGGTTATATTGTTTTGCTTGAATAACTGACTTTAGCGAAAGCTTCTTGTATCTTGTAGTTGTAAAAGAGCATCATGAGCAGGCCCACCCTTATGCCGGTATTTTTTGTCTCTGCAGCTGATAGACAAGACATGCACGTCACCCACACCTACACTGGAGCAGCATCTGATGTGGGATGACATCGCCATCCTGGCTCGCTACCTCCTCATGTTGTCTTTCAATAACTCACTTGATGGTAAGCAGGGCCTACAAAACCGTCTGAGACCTAAGTGGATAACACTCCCATACTTGACTGTTGGCTTCAGGGCCTCATTCCACAGAGTGATCTTAGACCTAAGAGGATAACACTCCCATACTTTACTATTGGCTTCAGGGCCTCATTCCACACAGTGATCTTAGACCTAAGAGGATAACACTCCCATTCTTTACTGTTGGCTTCAGGGCCTCATTCCACAGAGTGATCTTAGATCTAAGAGGATAACACTCCCATACTTTACTGTTGGCTTCAGGGCCTCATTCCACAGAGTGATCTTAGACCTAAGAGGATAACACTCCCATACTTTACTGTTGGCTTCAGGGCCTCATTCCACAGAATGATCTTTGACCTAAGAAGATAACACTCCCATACTTTACTCTCGGCTTCAGCTAGGGCCTCATTCCACAGACTGATCTTAGACCTAAGTGGATAACACTCCCATACTTTACTGTTGGCTTCAGGGCCTCATTCCACAGAGTGATCTTAGATCTAAGAGGATAACACTCCCATACTTTACTATATTGGCTTCAGGGCCTCATTCCACAGAGCGGCCTTAGACCTAAGTGGATAACACTCCCATACTTTACTGTTGGCTTCAGGGCCTCATTCCACAGAGTGATCTTAGATCTAAGAAGATAACACTCCCATACTTTACTATATTGGCTTCAGGGCCTCATTCCACAGAGTGGCCTTAGACCTAAGTGGATAACACTCCCATACTTTACTGTTGGCTTCAGGGCCTCATTCCACAGAGTGATCTTAGATCTAAGAAGATAACACTCCCATACTTTACTATATTGGCTTCAGGGCCTCATTCCACAGAGCGGCCTTAGACCTAAGTGGATAACACTCCCATACTTTACTGTTGGCTTCAGGGCCTCATTCCACAGAGTGATCTTAGATCTAAGAAGATAACACTCCCATACTTTACTATATTGGCTTCAGGGCCTCATTCCACAGAGTGGCCTTAGACCTAAGTGGATAACACTCCCATACTTTACTGTTGGCTTCAGGGCCTCATTCCACAGAGTGATCTTAGATCTAAGAAGATAACACTCCCATACTTTACTATTGGCTTCAGGGCCTCATTCCACACACTGATCTTAGACCTAAAAAGATAACATTCCCATACTTAACTGTTGGCTTCAGGGCCTCATTCCACACACTGATCTTAGACCTAAGAAGATAACACTCCCATACATTACTATTGGCTTCAGGGCCTCATTCCACACAGTGATCTTAGATCTAAGAGGATAACACTCCCATACTTTACTATTGGCTTCAGGGCCTCATTCCACAGAGTGGCCTTAGACCTAAGAAGATAACACTCCCATACTTTACTCTCGGCTTCATGGCCTCATTCCACAGAGTGATCTTGTCAGATCAGAAACCCCCTAATTTTGGTAACAGACAATATGTTTTAAAAAAAGATCCCAGCCCAAGGATCAACTGATCTGTCAATGTGTATTTTCCAGTTCCTCTTCATGTTGGTAAGATTTGTGTCCATCAATGAGCCTGCCTATCTTCTGTTTCAGTTGCTAGTCACCTCCCATTCCTCTTCCACATCGTTACTCTGCTAGTCTCCACGGGACCGCTGTCGTTGCGGGCGTCCACGCACGGACTCGTCATCAACATCATCCACTCACTCTGCACATGTTCACAACTACACTTTGGGGGTGAGTTCAGACCTGTGTCATTTGTGCAAGTTGTTGTTTAACTGCTTGTTTCCATTAGGCTATAAAAAATAATGAAAGAATTGGTTCTCAGGCAATGGCTCTTGAAAATATAATGCGGGTGGGCGTGTTTTGGTTTCTTTTTGGTCGTTCCAAATAATGTGACCAAATAAACAGTTATGTAACCAAATAAACAGTTATGTACAACCCACCTGGGGTCTTCCTATATGAACGTATTCCTTGATGAGTATTCCTTGATACAGAATTTGGCTACCGTTGGACTGGAATATTTAAGTACTTTTTTGAATTTTTTTAAATGGAAATAAAAACGAAACCTGTGGCAAACTTTATGATGATGCGGGGGTGCCTGAGAACCAAGACTATATTTTTGGCCTTACAATACTTTCTGTAGCAATGGTTTCAATACTAGCAAATGGTACATGGAATAATCTCTGGCTAATTGTATATATTATTGAGCTGCCAGTATGAGCTTTATGACTTTTCATTAACATCATACAAAATCTCCCCATAAGGGAGTTTGTGATTCAGATTTATACAGATTTTATTATACTTTTACAATAGCATATGTTTGCTTGTCTCAAACTATGGATGATATTACAGGGATTTATCTGAGATTCCAATATAAGTACCTCTGTCAGGCAAGGAAAAAAATCGGTGTTTTGTTCACAAGTGGGATTTTCTAAACATTACTATTTTCTTAAAGTTTGAGGTATTTTAACTTTATTTTGAATGAAATATCAAAAACTAAGCATTAAAGCCCTTCCTCATTGTTGGTCCTGATGCCAGGGTAATACAAGTAACCGCTGTAAAGATATACCATTTTAGATACAACTACTCATATTATAACTTTTATTCCAATTTGGAGGGGCGGTCGGGTAGCCTAGTGGTTAAAGAGTTCGCTCGTCCCGCTGAAGGTCCAGGTTCAATTTCCAACATGAGTACAATGTGTGAAGCCCATTTCTGGTGTCCCCCCGCAGTGATATTGCTAGAACATTGCTAAAAGCGGCGTAAAAACGCACTCACTCCAATTTGGGTACCTCTACTGGCATTTCTGCACATTAAGGGCCAAATGTAAGCCTCAGAGAAGTTCTAGATAAATCCCTGCATTACATTATTAGCAGAAATATGTGATTAAATCATCCTCATCACTAAGAGAGCTTCTATACTTGTGTTAGATACCCATGTCAAGGAATCACATCACTACATGATCTGACTCCGCCAAACGCCATGCTTTTCCTGTCTTTAACAAGTATCAATATTCCACACACAGAGAGCCCAAATTCAGACAATCGATCTCTCTCCCCAGAGAGCACCCTCCAGGTACTCAAGCTGAGTCTGGCGGAGTTTTCACTCCCTAAGTTTTACCAGCTGTTTGGGATCAGCAAAGTTAAGTCTGCGGCCGTCAGTGCCTTCAGGACCAGTTACCGCCCGGGGGATAGATCGTTCACCATGTCTCCGCCCGAGAATGAGAAGATGCCTCTAAGTTCTCTCGAGGCCATCGCCGACGCCTTGCTGGAGATCATGGAGGTAGGGATGTCATGGATGAAGCAGGGAGTTACAGGAGGTCCGGGGATGGTGACACTTTATATCTCCAGTGCTTCGGTAAACCTACACTCAGCCCTGGTTCCATTCCCGTGGTTCTCGCGATCTGAAATTATCTGCCCTTGATTTTCGTTAGCTAATTTGATTTGCTTCGCGACTTAGTCCAGTCAGAATGCAAGTTACAAACTAGCCTTAAGTTGGGCTGGCGACATCAACAACATGGTGTCCAGTCCCATGTTTACAATAGAGTTTGCGAGAAGTTCAACATTGAAAAACAGACTGACACACAAAAGAAATGGTTATTTTATGTCCATCTCCCTTTCCCATTTTTTCCCCTTATTGTGACGTTTGATTGGTCGGTAAAATAGTAACAACAATCAAGATTTAAGACGACGAGAACCACGGGAATGGATCCAGGGGTCATATGTAGATTTACTGAAAAGTGAGCCCTGGAGATTCAGAGGCTGGAACGGTGGGGGGTGATGTATGATGTGTCCAAGATCTGATCTATTCCAGAGCAATCATATATATATATATACACTGCTATTTCCACAGACCTGTATGATGTATTCAATATCTGACCTATTCCAATTTTGACCGTTATTCCCCACAGACTTTTGTGATGTGTCCACTGTAACACCTATTCCAGTGCCCTATTTTACACTATTTCTACAGTCCTGTATGATGTTTTCAAAATCCTGACCTATTCCAATGGCGTAATATTGACCGTTATTCCCAAAAGGCTTGTATGATGGGTCCACCATAATACCTATTCCAGTGCTCTAATATACACTGTTATTCCCCACAGGCCTGTATGAAGGATATCCCCAGCTGTGAGTGGTTACAGCAGTGGACAGACCTAGCCAAGAGGTGAGTAGAGCAGAGGCATTAGTGTTAGATGTTGCCTTGGCAGTATGCTGTGAGAAAGTATTGAGACTTGCTTCAGATTTAAGTCAGCCTTGTCATCATGTTTGTTGTCAGCCTGGCACATTATAGGTGCCCTGTAGTCCAGGGGAATCCGGTGGCCACGATGGCTGTTGGTACCTTGGCACAGAATGGGTCATCAGTACCCCAGGGGAATCCGGTGGCCACGATGGCTGTTGATACCTTGGCACAGAATGGGTCATCAGTACCCCAGGGGAATCAGATGGCCACAATGGCTGTTGGTACCTTGGCACAGAATGGGTCATCAGTACCCCAGGGGAAACCAGTGGCCACGATGGCTGTTGATACCTTGCCACAGAATGGGTCATCAGTAAGTACCCCAGGGGAATCAGATGGCCACAATGGCTGTTGGTACCCGGGCACAGAATGGGTCATCAGTACCCCAGGGGAATCCGGTGGCCACGATGGCTGTTGATACTTTGGCACAGAATGGGTCATCAGTACCCCAGGGGAATCAGATGGCCACAATGGCAGTTGATTGTGTACATATTTGTAAGGGGATCATTTGGTCAGACCAACTTTGAGAGATCTTTCCTGTACTGATTAGGTCTAATATCGTGATTATTATTGTGATGTTCATTTACTTCTTTCATCCTAATGTGACTACACATTGGCATCCATGATGTAGATTAAATTGATACCACTTCAACATATTGATGCTTTCCTTTTTTCAGATTTGCATTCCAGTATAACCCAGCCTTGCAGCCAAGGGCCATCATTGTGTTCGGGTGCATCAGTAAGTCTGTGACTGACTCTGAGGTGAAGCAGCTCCTTAAGATCATGATGAAGGTAAGTCTAGAAGCATCCTCTCACCTGTGTACAGGGGACCTGCCCTTCTGGGGATCCCTGGCTACATTTGGTCCCCAGCAACCTATGCTGGTCGAAAGAGGTGACTTAAAGAGTCCTGTGGTCAGGCTCAGTGACTTGGTTGATAACATGTCATCATACCCCAGTGGTGTGGATCATTGCTCCCAAGACCTGTGAAGATCTGGGGTAGTTTAGGTCTTCAGCATCCCGTGCTTGCCTTAACAGGAGACTAATGGGATCGGGTGGTCAGGCTCAGTGACTTGGTTGATGACATGTCATCATACCCCAGTGGTGTGGATCATTGCTCCCAAGACCTGTGAAGATCTGGGGTAGTTTAGGTCTTCAGCATCCCGTGCTTGCCTTAACAGGCGACTAAGCTTGTTATAAGAGGCGACTAATGGGATCGAGTGGTCATGCTTGCTGACTTGGTTGATGCATGTGATCGTATCCAATTTCATGCATCGATGCTCATGGTGTCAGTCACCGGATTGTCTGGTCCAGACTCGATTATATACGGATCAGGTGACTTGGGTGATGACGTGTCATCATACCCCAGTGCTCACGATGTCAATCACTGGATTGTCTGGTCTAGACTCGATTATTTACCAATAGCTGGAATATTGCTGAGAGCTGCGTTAAACAACAAACAAACAAAACATGATGACACAGATGAACAGTAGTTGTGATAAGATGAGTTATGACACAAGGCCCTGGCCCTGATAACCCCGACCTGATTGCTCCCTTCTTCAGGGCCGTCCTCCCTATTCCTTGACCTTCACCCACACCTGTACTCTGCAAAGTTTTGGCGAGAAGTCGGACTCCCTACAGGACCAAATGGGCCCCCGACGAACCCAGCCATCTTGCATTGAGGTACACTGTTATCATGGGCTGTATCGTCATGGTCTAATACATGCTTTTGTTTCTCTTTCTATTGCAGGTGTTCAAACCTTTTAATTTTCAAAATACATGGAGCTTCCCATGTCCGGTAATCCTTGCTGCAATTCTGATAGTTCTGAACCTGATCCCTTGCTCTCCTGTTGTTCTTTCTGTTCCCCTGCTTAAGAATGACTTTCATTTTAGCTTAACATTTTGATTAATTTTTGGCTGCACTGCTCTGTGGGACCAGTAGAGCATCCGGAATCTTGTACTGTCCCTCATCCCTCCTGTCCCTTGGCAAATAGTGTGATGGAAATATGGTGTCTAGAAAATGTGTTGAAAGTTCAGTGAGACCTTATTTTGTCATACAACTCAAAAGAAGATAAAGGACACCACATTTATATCCCCCGCCAAAAAGTGGAAGAGGGATATCTATAGGAATTGGTGCTGTCCATCCATCCTTTCATCCATCCATCATGATTCCTTTCCGGAGCAGAACTCCAAAACCATGAGACATATCTTAACCAAACTTTGTACATACATAGGTCTAGTGGTGAACTGGTGCTTTTTGATGGTTTGGGATTTAAAAAAATTGTTTTCTAGCTTCCATGGCAACAACTTTGACTTAATCTGTCATGGCTGGTGGGTATTGCAACACAGCCTTCCAATTGTGGGTGTTCTTTTACTTGTTTTGAGTAGTATATAATAGGAATAAAATAAATACACCCCCATCCCCCGATATATGATAATTATGATGGCGAAACACACTCGGCTAATAATCTCAATTCACATTTTGTGGGACTAATTTTAATCTATTTTTGTCAGACTAAGATCAGTAAACAAAATTAATAATAAGTAGCATATCTGGCTCATGGAAATATCGGTTTGACAGGTTAGTCAACAAGATAATCATGTTTTTGACAAGGAAAGCTATATATTCTCTTTAGTATAGTTTACGCCGGGGCATGGCTGGCCCAGTCGTCTAAGGCGCCGCGATTCGCTGTGCAGAGTTGCGTCCCTTGGGCACGCCAGAAACCTATGATTGTGGGTTCAAATCCGGGTTCGCCCAGATTTCTTTTCTAGGTTTGTCAGTACCATACCCGTGCTTTTGAGTTTCACTGAAGTGGTAAACGTCTGAGACCTGCATCACTTCGGGCTTTCCTCCCACATTAAGCTGACACGCCCTGATATAACTGGAATACTGTTAAAAGCGACGTAAAACCCAACTCACTCACTCACTAGTATAGTTTATAATGAACTAAAGTTAAGGCAGACTCATTATCAACACTTGGTCCAATATCATCGCTCCACTTGTCTGAACATATGTTATATGTTTAATATGTTATGCAGGGGTTTAAAAGTCATACAGCTGGATTATTGCCGAGTGCAGCATTAAACGACAAACAAACGAATACCAAACCAGACTTTGTCATGTATAAATGTTGTGGGATTCATTATATGTTGTGCATGTGTTGTCAAGAATGATCAGTCAATAATGTGAGCTGCAGTGCCTCAATTAAACACTTTTTTATAGTATGGTGACATCAGCGCTACAGATAAGCTGCGTATTTGCGTAAGATACCCCCCCAAAATATAACAACCCTATTCCTTTCAACTAACTTGCGTACAGAAACACAGGTATGACAGGAAAAACTTAAATGTATAAAAACAGCATGCGTAAATACCCAACGAAGCTTTTTCAGCATGCGTACAATGGAGGTTATTTCTGAAACACAAATACGAGCTAATTTACTTTCCGAGTCAAGCCTATATTGAGAACTGTTACCTATATACATCTAAAACATTATTTCATTTTTTTTAAATCTCAAAATGTTTTCTCAGTTTAGGGAAAACCCAGAAGAGTGATGAATAGACGAGTGAAAAAATATTGGTTACCCAATGAAAATGTAATAAGCCAATTAAAATAGAAACCGTCGAGTAAAAACTCAATTGCTCGAAAAGTTATCTGGAGCTCTGTTACATGTTGAAGTATTTAGGGGTGTTTTGGTTAACATAGAAAGTGTGGCAATAGTCATTATAAAACCAGTTGAGCACAGTCCCACTTTAGAGTGATTTGTGCAACAAGATGTGTAGAGCTATCACAAGTAGTTCATACCTGTTTGCTGTTGTACTGTGGCTTCAGTTAGTGTGGTTTGCTGTTGTGTGGTCTGGAGCTGTGTTTAGTTTCACAGCCTGTTGCCTGTATAGTAGCATTGTTTATAAAAAAACTTTGGAAGAAATGTCATCACAAGCCCTATATGACACTAATAATCCATGCTTTTCATTTAATGTTTTGGGCAAAATATGCATGTAAACTTTGAAATAAGTGTCAAAATGTAAAACCAGCTGATTACTTTGTTCACTTGAATCTCTCTCTCTCTCTCTCTCTCTCTCTTACTCACTCACTCACTCTATCTCTCTCTCTCTCTCTCTCTCTCTCTCTCTCTCTCTCTCTCTCTCTCTCTCTCTCTCTCTTCTCTCTCTTTCTCTCATTTGTATATCACGGATACCAGTACCAATAAAGAGGAAGATACTTTTGTGCTTAGTTATACATTGTTACTGAAGATTCAGTGTTAAAATACCTCAGAATTTAGGTAAATAGGTTTAAGCAAAGAAATATATTTGAAAAAAATATTGATTCTTTTTCCCAGTTTGCCTACAATGAGCACTAGCCTAAAGTCGTACACGAGTCAATGGTTTGATTTGCAGGCCCTGGAGTCCTACACCGATCTGACGTTGATCGAGGCTGTCGTCATGTGTCTCACCAGGCTACAACCCATGCTGAAGGCGGTGAGTAACGCAATAATGTCCATCTCCTTGTTGACTGACCACTACAACCCATGCTGAAGGCGGTAAGTAACGCAATAATGTCCATCTCCTTGTTGACTGACCACTACAACCCATGCTGAAGGCGGTAAGTAACGCAATAATGTCCATCTCCTTGTTGACTGACCACTACAACCCATGCTGAAGGGGGTGAGTAACGCAATAATGTCCATCTCCTTGGTGACTGACCACTACAACCCATGCTGAAGGCGGTGAGTAACGCAATAATGTCCATCTCCTTGTTGACTGACCACTACAACCCATGCTGAAGGCGGTGAGTAACGCAATAATGTCCATCTCCTTGGTGACTGACCACTACAACCCATGCTGAAGGCGGTGAGTAACGCAATAATGTCCATCTCCTTGGTGACTGACCGCCACCGTGGTCTAGTGGATAGGGCGACTGCCTGGAGATGTGAAGGTTGGGAATTTGATCCCCTGCTATGTCATACCAAAAGAAGTTGATATGTGGTACTTGTTGTTACCCTGCCTGGCATTCGGCATTAAGGGGCTAAAACAAGGACTGGTCGGCTCGGGAGTCAGTGTGCTGTGTCTGAGTGGGTCATTCGTGTAGACTGAGGAATGGTATCTGAGTAGGCAAGGAATATTAAAAAGGCATTAGTCTGGACAGTCTCTCTCTCTCTTTCTCTCTTCAGTCACTCACTCACTCACTCACACACAGCTATATGAGTGCAATATTCTTGAACATGATGTTAAGCCCCCCTCACCTCACCTCACCTCACCTCACCTCAACTGCTTGTCCATGTACATCCCCCTTGTTTATATATAATGCTTAGGGACTGTCCATTTGTTACCCTCAGGGAAACTTGGATTCTTTTGAATGGATGATTTCTTCATTCTTGAAAATAGTGAAAATGTAATGTTGCCTCATATACACAGTTGACAGACAAGCTCCATTCCCTCCCACCTCACCCTCCCCTCAGAATATTAAATTAGTAATTTACTATAGATGTTGGGGTCATGTTTCAAAGGTACATCAATGATAGGTTAAGTTAAATTTGATACTTCTTATCAGTTTAAAAAAAACAAGAAATTTTATTCTGCGATCAGACAAGGAGATTGGTATACTTGTGTCACATATTTCAGGAGTCTCCAATCCACAAGTTCCTGTTCTGGGTGGCAATCTCAGTACTGCAGCTGGATGAAGTGTCATTGTACGCGGCGGGACTTGCCCTGCTGGAGCAGAACCTACACACGCTCGACAACATGGGGCTGTTCGAGAAGAAGGTAGGTCGGGGAGGAGAACTGACTAGCTGGGTTATGTGTGGGTGGTTGGCTGGGGAGGAGAACAGAATAGCTGGATTTGTATGTTGGTGTTAAAAGTGGAGCACAGCAGCTGTAGACTGGGGAGTAGAAGAGAATAGCTGGGTTGTATGGTGGTGGTTATTTTAAAGTTGAGGACCTGGGAACAGGTGGTAGGTTGGGGAGGAGAACAGAATAGCTGGATTGTGTGTTGGTGGTAGGTTGGGGAGGAGAACAGAATAGCTGAATTGTATGTTTCTTTTATTTTTGAAACGTGGAGGATCTATAGGGACAGGTACTTGGCTGGGGAGAACAGAATAGATGGGTTTTGTGTTGGTGGTGGGTTGGATAGGAGAACACAATAACGAGGTTGTTTGTTGTGTGTTATTTTAAGTGGAGAACCTGTAAACAGAGGTAGGTTGGGGAGGAGAACAGAATAGCTGCTGTAGGAGAGGAGAACAGAATAGCTGCTGTAGGTGATAACAGCATGATGGTGTTAAACAATGGTACACCCGTGTCGTGTTCATGTCAACGTTCATGTCATGCTTGTCATGTTCATGTCAATCTTCATGTCATGCTTGTCATGTTGCAGTCCCTGGAGAAGATCATGATGGAGACGCGGGAGCCCCTGGAGTGGCACTTCAAGCAGCTGGACCACTACATGGGCCTCAGCTTCCAGTTCAACTTCAACTTTGCTCTGGTTGGACATTTACTCAAAGGTGGGGATTCTGTAATATCTTGTAGCTGAGAATTGTCATCTTGCGTGTTGCCATGATTATGAACAGGCCTGGGTGGCCCAGTCATCTAAGGCTCCGCAATGCGCTGTGCAGAGTTGCATCCCTTGGGCACATCAGAAACCTATGATTGTGGGATCGAATCCCTGTTTGACATGATTATGTTTCTAGGTTTGTCAGCAACATAACCACGCTTGTGATTTCACCAAAGTAGTAGATGTCTGAGACCTATGTCACCCCGGTCTTGCCTCCCACATAAAACTAACACGCCTCGTTATAACTCGAATACTGTTCAAAACAGCATTAAACCAAACTGACTCTGAACCAGTCCTCCTGTTTTCAAGTATATTGTGATTTGAAGATGTAGCTGGCCTGTATCCCAGCTGAGACCATTTCAGTTTTTTTTCTGTATTTGGATCTGGATTTGACTGATTGGTCATGTAATGCAATCTTTTCTCTGTGTCAGGATTCCGACATCCATCCCCCACGACTGTGTCCCGGACAATCCGCGTCTTGCATCAGCTTCTCAGTATTACAGTGAAACCAAGTGTCAGGGACAAGTTTGAGGTGACCACACAGACTGTGGCATACCTTGCAGGTGGGTAGTACTGTGTTGTTTGTGTTGACTGGAATAATCTAGCAATATGATTCTTCGACCTTTTTAAAAAACTTTTGGAACACAGATCTGCTGACCCTATTTTCCTCAAACTTTGGAAAGAAATAAAAATCCAAATTTATAAATACTTTTTCTGTCGAAACGTCGCACTCACAAAATTATTTTGAGATTACTCAGTGTTTAAAAAAAATGATCAGATGTAGAACATATGTTGCTCAATTTGACATACATATTCCGCCAACTTTTTCAGTCAAGAAATTCGTTGCATAATATGTCTAGAGTTATGTCCCTTGTGCTTGATACACAGACTTGCCGAAATTAATTCCCTTTTTCTTCCGAAATAAAAGATATTGTTATGCTCAAGTATGTTTCATAAATTGTTTTTAAATATAACTTTGCATAAATAACTACATTGTGAATATATTAACTTGGTCTCGTCGCTATATGGCTGAAATACTGACGATGCGACGTTAATTTTAACTCACTCACACTCTAAAACAACAAAAAACAAATCTTCCAGTTGACAATGGCGCTAAAGATTGCAATTTCAATTATTTTTTTCTGCTCGTACAGGTAATATTTGTTGAAATTTTTCGTGATCCAGTTTTGAAAAATAAACATTTGATGTCTTGCTTCAGCCTTAGTGTCGGTGTCAGAAGAGGTCCGCAGTCGGTGTCATCTGAAACATCGGACAGCCAACTATATGATATCGGAGTCCCCATCAACAGAGAGTCTGAATACTGAGCTGTCCTCTTCCCAGGGGGTGTCCCCCTCTGCTCCCCCTCCCACCACCACTGTAGTCACACCCCCTCAGAATGCCCCGCCCACGACTGCCTCCACCCCTCTCCCACGGAGACAAAAGAGCTGTGACCTTCTGGACCAGAATGCAATGACGGCAGCGCGTATGGGGAAGAATGTGCAGCTCACGCAGAGTCAGGTAGGTGGCGCTGTGTTGCTGTGGCTTGCTTGCTGCTTGCTAGACTAAGCTAGTCATGTAGATATCGTAGAAAGGAAGCATGATCTATCAGCATCACGGGCAGATTGAGTAGAGCTAGAATGTACTACACAATGTAGTGTGGGCTTGGATTGAATAGCAGGCTAGATAGTGAAGGTTAGTGATGGTAGAACACAATGTGAGAGCATGGCCTGAATCTAAAGGCTAGATAATGTCTAGTATGGATCTAAAGGCTAGATAGTGGAGGTGATTGATGCTAGACCATATTGTTAGAGCTTGGCCTCAATCTAGTGGCTAGATAGTGTGGCTGAGTGATGCTAGACCATAGTTAGGGCATGGCCCCAATCTAATGGCTAGATAGTGTGGCTGAGTGATGCTAGGCCATATTGTGAGAGGTTGGCCTCAATCTAATGGCTAGATAGTATGGCTTATTGATGCTAGACCATCGTTAGAGCATGACTTCAATTTAATGGCTAGATAGTGAGGCTGATTGATGCTAGACCATAGAGCATGGCCTCAATCTATCTGCTAGATAGTGGGGCTGATTGATGCTAGACCATAGTTACAGCATGGCCTCAATCTAATGGCTATATACTGAGGCTTATTGATGCTAGACCATAGTTAGAGTATGGCCTCAATCTAATGGCTAGATAGTGTGGCTGATTGATGCTAGACCATAGTTAGAGCATGGCCTCAATCTAATGGCTAGATAGTGAGGCTGATTGATGCTAGACCATAGTTAGAGCATGGCCTCAATCTATCTGCTAGATAGTGAGGCTGATTGATGCTAGACCATAGAGCATGGCCTCAATCTATCTGCTAGATAGTGTGGCTAAGTGATGCTAGACCATTGTTAGAGCATGACCTCAATCTAATGGCTAGATAGTGAGGCTGATTGATGCTAGACCATAGAGCATGGCCTCAATCTATCTGCTAGATAGTGGGGCTGATTGATGCTAGACCATCGTTAGAGCATGACCTCAATTTAATGGCTAGATAGTGTGGCTGATTGATGCTAGACCATATTGTGAGAGCATGGCCTCAATCTAATGGCTAGATAGTGTGGCTGACTGATGCTAGACCATATTGTGAGACCTTGGCCTTAATCTAATGGCTAGATAGTGTGGCTGACTGATGCTAGACCGTAGAGCATGGCCTCAAACTAAGGCTAGATAGTGTGTCCGACTAGGGCTAGACAACTCTTGTGGGCATGACCTGGAATAACAGGTTAGATAGTGTGTCTGACTAGGGCCAGACAACTCTTGTGGGCATGACCTGGAATAACAGGTTAGATAGTGTGTCTGACTAGGGCTAGACAACTCTTGTGGGCATGACCTGGAATAACAGGTTAGATAGTGTGTCCGACTAGGGCTAGACAACTCTTGTGGGCATGACCTGGAATAACAGGTTAGATAGTGTGTCTGACTAGGGCCAGACAACTCTTGTGGGCATGACCTGGAATAACAGGTTAGATAGTGTGTCCGACTAGGGCTAGACAACTCTTGTGGGCATGACCTGGAATAACAGGTTAGATAGTGTGTCCGACTAGGGCTAGACAACTCTTGTGGGCATGACCTGGAATAACAGGTTAGATAGTGTGTCTGACTAGGGCTAGACAACTCTTGTGGGCATGACCTGGAATAACAGGTTAGATAGTGTGTCCGACTAGGGCTAGACAACTCTTGTGGGCATGACCTGGAATAACAGGTTAGATAGTGTGTCCGACTAGGGCTAGACAACTCTTGTGGGCATGACCTGGAATAACAGGTTAGATAGTGTGTCCGACTAGGGCTAGACAACTCTTGTGGGCATGACCTGGAATAACAGGTTAGATAGTGTGTCCGACTAGGGCTAGACAACTCTTGTGGGCATGACCTGGAATAACAGGTTAGATAGTGTGTCCGACTAGGGCTAGACAACTCTTGTGGGCATGACCTGGAATAACAGGTTAGATAGTGTGTCCAACTAGGGCTAGACAACTCTTGTGGGCATGACCTGGAATAACAGGTTAGATGGTGTGTCTGACTAGGGCTAGACAACTCTTGTGGGCATGACCTGGAATAACAGGTTAGATAGTGTGTCCGACTAGGGCTAGGCAACTCTTGTGGGCATGACCTGGAATAACAGGTTAGATAGTGTGTCCGACTAGGGCTAGACAACTCTTGTGGGGATGACCTGGAATAACAGGTTAGATGGTGTGGCTGACTAGGGCTAGACAACTCTTGTGGGCATGACCTGGAATAACAGGTTAGATAGTGTGGCTGACTGATACAGGAGCAGAGAATGAAAACCGAGGACACACAGATCCGTTGACCGGATTAATAAGAATGTAGCACTTTGAGCATGCCTGTGTAGTGTGGATCTAGAGCAATACCTGTACTTTGAGAGTTGCCATGAAGATTGTAGAGGTCTTTCAGTACCTCAGTTTATCAACGTGGTGAAACTGTTGTGCATGTCTCGATGATAAAACAGTGTAATTTCAACCCTGTGAAAGTAGGACTTCTGCTATTACTGAAGTAATACATACAGGTTTATACATACAATTTGAGTGTCAGATCACCAGCTGATTATTATGAGATTTAGTTCATGAGGATCATTTTTTGCCTACATCTATACTGAACACAAAGAAGTGAGGGATCATGAAATATTTTTATATACCGTACACATTTAAAGAAACTCAGTTTCCCCACAAATATCCCAAGAAATATTCATGGTCCCCAATTAAGTTTGTTCAGTATGTCGGTATAGATCTGTCGATTGTTGCAAAATTATTGTCATCAGATCTCTAGATATTACTTTTCATAGTAATTAGCCCTAGGTAAATGAGAAATGTGAAAACACAGTTCTTACCTGTATTGTTGAATGTATTTGTTGCTACAGCTGTCAGTTAAGCCATAGGACAGCCGATTCAATGTGAGGCTTTATGTCTTTGTCATGGTCTCATTTAAGTAATAAATAGACCTGTGAAGATCTGGGCTAGAATAGGTCTTCTGCAACCCATGCTTGTTGTATGAAGCGACGAACGGGATCGAGTGGTCAGAGTTGGTGACTTTGTTGATGCATGTCGTCGTATCTCAATTACGTATGTCGATGCTCATGATGTCATGATGGTCCTGACTTGAGTGCAGTGTTAAACTACAAGCAAACAAAGTAATAAATAAAAGGAGAAACATGACTTACCTTTAAGAAACTTCAAGTTACTGCTGCAGAAAAATTTCTTTTTCTGCTACCAGTGAAATGAATGACATTTTCATCTCAGCAAAGTTCAAACACCTGTTGCAGGGCAAGAGCGTCAGCCTTGACCTTGATCAAAATTCACGGCCGCCGCTGACGAAATTCCGCAGCAGTTCCATGCCAACGCCAGGCAGCAACAAGCTGGAGTCCTCCAAATCAGCCATCCAGCAGCCGCGCAGTGGGCGGAGCTCCGTGTCCAATGAGAACAACGTCCTCCTGGATCCGGACATCCTCATGGACTACCCCACACAGGCTCTTGTCCTCACGGTCCTGGTAAGTCTCTCTCTGGGTGGCGCTGGGGTAGCCGTGGGGTTAAACAGGGTGCACACAGATTTTAGAAGAGCTTTAATTTAACCATGTCCGATGAAAAGTGCTTGATTCTGACATTATAAATGAAAGTGCTGGAATTTTATTTTTGACAGTTGTTGAAAAGTGCTGGAATGTGAATAAAATCTATAACAAATTTGCTACTGAACATCATTACCATTCAAGTTTCAATGCATTGTTTGCTTCCTGTCGCTTAAGAAAGACTTATTCTGTGAGTTATAGGTTATGTAGGTAAATTCCATTGTGCAATGTATTCCTAGGTAAAGTTAAATTAACTTGAGCGGCACTTGAAACTCTAGACTGGTTCCCAACCTGCAGCAGACCAAGAGGAGGTTCCGTGAACCTGTCATTGTGTTTTAGTCATGGGAAAGTGTGTTTTTGATTGCGGTTGCATTTTAAAGTACCAATGGGTCTATGAAACAAGGCATTGTGTTAATGCTGCAAGAAGGAAATTGATGTTGATACAATGGGGGAAAGTGCAGAATTTGGGCATTGTTAAATGATAAAAGAGCCCTTGAAAACAAATGTTATATCTTGCCACGATACACATAACTGATTCTCATCAATGTCAAGTGTATATTTAAGTTTATCTGACATAGATCTGATTATCCCTATCACATGTTGAGTAGTGTAGAATGTGGTTTACTACATGTGTTGAAAACCAATGTTATATCTTGCCACGATACACAAAACTGATTGTCATCAATGTCAAGTGTATATTTAAGTTTATCTGACATAGGTCTGATTATCCCTATCACATGTTGAGTAGTATAGAATGTGGTTTACTACACGTGTTGAAAACAAATGTTATATCTTGCCACGATACACAAAACTGATTGTCATCAATGTCAAGTGCATATTTAAGTTTATCTGACATATATCTGATTATCCCTATCACATGTTGAGTAGTATAGAATGTGGTTTACTACATGTGTTGAAAACCAATGTTATATCTTGCCACGATACACAAAACTGATTGTCATCAATGTCAAGTGTATATTTAAGTTTATCCGACAAAGGTCTGATTATCCCTATCACATGTTGAGTAGTATAGAATGTGGTTTACTACATGTGTTGAAAACCAATGTTATATCTTGCCACGATACACAAAACTGATTGTCATCAATGTCAAGTGTATATTTAAGTTTATCCGACATAGGTCTGATTATCCCTATCACATGTTGAGTAGTATAGAATGTGGTTTACTACATGTGTTGAAAACCAATGTTATATCTTGCCACGATACACAAAACTGATTGTCATCAATGTCAAGTGTATATTTAAGTTTATCTGACATAGGTCTCATTATCCCTATCACATGTTGAGTAGTATAGAATGTGGTTTATTACACGTGTTGATTGTTTTCCCTGTTTCAGGCAACACTTGTTCGGAACACAACAGATGAGAACGAGACTAGAATATTGTACGAGTATCTAGCTGAAGCCTCAGTCGTATTCCCTAAAGTCTTTCCTGTAATGTAAGTTGCAGCTGCTGTTTAATCGAGTACATTAGTTGGTAGAGGTTAACATTAGGGCTGGGACAGTTCCAAATTTACTACCGGGTACCCATCCCCCTATTACCCTGATACCCGCTGTAGGTCTCAAGAGGTAGGTACAAACTGTCCGATTGAGAAAAGTTTGACCGTAACCCTGGCAAAAGGTGTTTAGGTACACTTATAAAACAATCTGATGTATACACTGAAGAAGACTGAAGTTTTATTTTTATTGAAACATATTAAAGTCAGAAGGAATGGACTTCGTAGTCGGAAACATAAGTGACTTGTAGTTTAAACGTACAGTTCTAGTTAATTTTGTCTTTAAACAATATATCATGTGTCTAACCACGGGTCCGGGTAGTCCTGTGGGTACCCAGGTCCTACTCATTACTCACCCTACCCGAGTTACCCGAGTTACCCGTCCCAGCCCAAGTTAACATGATTTAAAATACTAATGAATATGTATCACAATATGTTTGGAAAGAACTGGTATATTGCATATTTTAAAATCATTCATGTTGTCATATTGTTGGCAAAGTTGAGATAAGTGACAAGACGACTTAAAATTCCCAAATTGAATTAAAAAATTACTAATTTCTCAGAATTTACAAAAATAACAGCATTACAAAAATCGAATTTTGAATTATATCACGACTTTTTCCAGTATGCCTGCCAAAGGAACATAGTTTGAAATCCTAGATAAATCCCAGCTCCAACAGTCGAGAATGTAGACTTAATCACAGTCTTCCATTTGTTACAGTCACAGTCTCCTTGACGCAAAGATAAACAATGTTCTGTCACTGTGCCACGACCAGGCCATCCTCAATGCAGTCCAGAGCATCATCCAGAACATGATCGCCTGTGAGGATGCCTCCCAACAGCAGCTGTCCTACCTCCAGAGTAAGTGTTGTCATGGTGATTGTGGGTTCGAATCCCGGTTTGTCCCGATTATGTTTCTAGGTTTGTCAGGTTTGCGCTGGTGGGTTTCACCAAAGTGGTAGATGTCTGTGATCGGCATCACTTTGGACTTTCTGTCCGACAATAAGTCTTTTCCATTTAGCTATACCAAAAAGGTGTGCCCATCACCCCAGTGGATCAGCACCTATAAGCAGGATCTCTGTTTCACTGTGGACCCATGAACACCTGTTGTAGAATAGGTCTTCAGCAACCCATGCTTGGCATAAAAGGCAACTATGCTTGTCGTAAGAGGCAACAAACAGGATTGTGTGGTCAGCTTCGCTGACTTGGTTGATGCATGTCATCGAATCCCAATTGCGTGGATCGATACTCATGATGTCAATAACTGGATTTTTTGTCAGACTGGAATATCGCTGAGTGCGGCATTTAACAACAAAGAAACAAACAAACAAATATGGTGACTAATTGCGCACGTCTTGTTTCAGGTATTGGTTTTGGAGGTTTATGGAGGTTCGCTGGTACATTCACAAAGGTGAGCTGACATCGTTCATGATGTTCTGGACAAACGTTATGACAATGTGTTCAAAGGAAAGCAACAGGCTTGAAAATTTCGTGTTTAATGTACATCTTAAAATAATTTGAAAATTCATTAAATGTCCTTTATTAATGGCAAGATGGCTTTCCTGGGAGAGCTGGTTGTCAGTACCCCCTGCTTGATGTATGACGCGACACAATTGATTGGGTAGTCAGGATCAGTGACTTAGTTGATTGAATGTCATCCTACTCCAATGGCGTGAATTTGTGCTCAGGATACCAATCACTGGTTTGTCTGGTTCAGACTGACCCATGAAGATTCCGGGGTAGAATAGGTCTTCAGCAACCCATGCTTGCCATAAAAGGTGACTATGCTTGTCGTAAAAGGCAACTAACGGGATCGGGTGGTCAGGCCCGCTGACTTGGTTGATACATGTCATCGATCCCAATTTCGTGGATCGATGCTCATGATATCAATCACTGGATTGTCCGGTCCAGACTCGATTATTTACAGACCGCCATCATATAGCTGGAATATTGCTGAGTGCGGCGTTAAACAACAAACCAACCAACCAATCTGGTTCAGACTAAAGTAAGGATATGGAAATTTTCCTATATTCTGTAAAACCCTGATCGAGTTGCACAACGTCGTCATATAGCTGGAATATTTCTGAGTGCGGCGTTAAACAACAATCAACAACATCCAGTTGCACGAAATAGTGTTGGTCCTTTGACAATTGAAAATAAGTGTCATAGTCCTGGTGGTTTGATTGGTTTGTGCTGGTGGGCCCTGGCTGAAAGTGTTTTTTCAACCCAGGCACTTATATCTCATACCTTAGCAAGTTGCTGCTTAATAAGAAGAATAAGAAAAAGTGCTCTTGATCATTGGGAGGGTTCACGGATGGCCCAGTCGTCTAAGGCACCGCGATTCGTTGTGCAGAGTTGCTTCCCTTGGCCACGCCAGAAACCTATGATTGTGGGTTCGAATCCCGGTTCGCCATGATTATGTTTCCAGGTATGTCATCGCCATACCCTGTGCTCGTGGGTTTCACTGAAGTGGTAAAGGTCTGAGGCTTTCCTCCCACATTCAGCTGACATGCTGTGATATAACTGGAATACTGTTTAAAGCGGCATTAAGCTCACCTGACTCACTCACTCACACTGTACCATTGTCGAAATAAACTGAATGAGGACTTAGAACCCTATTAGTTTGGACCCTGTTGTTGCAGAACCTGTCTTTCTGGTTGGTTACTGACACGGCGTGATATAACTGGAATAATGTTAAAAGAGGCGTTAAACCCAACTCACTCACTCACTCACTCACTCACTCACTCACTCACTCACTCACTCACTCACTCACTCACTCACTCACTCACTCACTCACTCACTCACTTGATCATTGGCTGTTAGACACAGATGAGATTGGAGCTGTGATCTGAAGTGTTGATAGCTGTAATACTCCTACATGCGGTCCAAAGCATGTGTTCAGTTACCCATTGTTTTCTTTACTCAAAAATCTTCTATAAAACTTTGGAGCATGGGTAACCTATTTATCTATAGTACCACGATTTGCTGCACAGAGTTGCTTCCCTTTGGCTTGTGATCTCAGCACCATAACCATGCTCGTGGGTTTCTCCCGATCAGTGAACATTTACAACCTGTATGAATGGTGGCTTGTGTTAAATTGCCTCCGAACCATTTAATGATTCCCATCCAGTTAATAATGTCCAGACCCGTGAAGATCCGGGTCAGAATAGGTCTTCAGCAACCCATGCTTGCCATAAGAGACGACTAATGGGATCAGGTGGCCTGGCTCGCTGACTTGGTGGATGCATATCATCATATCCAAATTGCGTAGATCGATGCTCATGATGTCAATCACTGGATTGTCTGAGTGCAGCGTTAAATAACAAATAATGATGTCGACTAAATGATGTCCATTTGTCTTTTTCAGTCCTCGGGCAGCAGTGACACAGCGGAACTATTTGTGAATTGTTTAGAAAAGGCAATGATGGTTGAATCATGTCTCCCTGGTGATGACCTTGACATTCTCAATCCTTACCCAAGCTCTCTGGGAATATCCTCCAATCTGAATCTGTCTAGTTCCATGTCAAGTCTCAGTGTGGGGAGCATGCACTCCCCGACGGACAAGGACATTGTAGACAAAAACGGCACCAACGGCGGAAGGATACGCCATGCCTCTGCAAACAATCTGCCAACCAAAAATAGAGCAGGGAGTTTTAAACAGAAAGAAAAGAAAAAATTAATGGAACCAATTGAATGAGATGTTGATAAACACTGAGGTTGACTGTGATTGGCTGATGGCCACTGATGTATATGAAGTGTAGTTGTAGACAGGATATGTGAGTTGTTCATTGGTTGATGGAAGTCATGTGACATTAATCATGAATTATGATGAGCTTCTGACAGTGAGGTGGGATGATTCAGAGGCTGTGATTGGCCAAAAGCTAGTCATGTGACTTGTGGACGCTGTGTAAGGTATCTGAAGGTTACCGCGACTGCCATTGTACGCGAACTGTCGGAGGTAGCACGTTACCTGTCGTGGAAATCCGATTCTTGGGACCAGAGGGATGTGGCGAGAGATCCATAGCGATATTTTAGCTGAATGAGTTTCGAGAATATTTATGTGGGGAGTGTGTGGAGAGAGTTTTATGTACAGTTTATCAATTTTATTTTTGATTGCAGATCTGTTGCCATTGCCCATGTAGAAAGTAGATCACAGCAACCAACATATTCATAACCTGGACATAACACATGTACATTCATTGTCAATCAGCCATCGGAAACTATGCTATCGTATGTGCTGCTTTACATCAGTCAGTAAATGTTATCTGTTAAACATTTTTTGGGTTATTCCTATAACTTTTACCAAAAAGAGATTTCAGTTGAGTTTTAATCAATTTAAGATGAACTTTTATCCAGTCCTTTTATTAGTCCGAAAATGGTATTGATACATATCTCTGTTTTTAAACCATGGAACAGGATAGTGATTGTTCACCTCCTCTCATAGATGTCTGTACAGTTATGATCTATTTTAAGAGATTAACTATATTTTGAAATGAAAGATATCTGTGATATTTAAACACAATGCTAATTCTTCCAGTTTCGAAATTCTATAGAATATAGGCTATTGAGGGGGCTCGAAATCCTGAAACCTACATCGATGCTATGAGAAACAACTATTGATACAGGGTTAGACACGGACACTCGTCCGAGACAAATGAAAATCCAGATGCACAAATTGTTGTCTTTCAAAAACTAGATAATTTGCATTGAACACTTGTCTGAAATAAGCTGCTTACTGGTTGCATATAACAAATGGCTTCTACCTCTGTGATGCATCAACTCTAACACATGCTGTTCAAAGTCAGATCCAGAGGGGGGTGTCCAGGGGGTCCGCACTCCCCCCTTTTCTTTTATGAAAACCAATATAGTACATGTATGTTGTAAGCAGTAACATTATCCGAGAGAGGTTTTTGATATTTTGGACCACTCCCTTTTTAAAATTCTGATCCGCCCATGCTGGTGGAATAAGAATCCTTTATGTGCACAAATTTGAAAGTTAAATGAACACGTTTTATTTTTCCCCCAAAAATAATTCTATAAAGACACCTGCTTGTTTTTGATGTATTTTAAAGAAATAATTAATGTAGATTTCAGGAATTCTGCATCTGGTGAGTATCTGATGCGGAGGCTGGTCTTGCTGGTTTTACTTGGTTTATTTATCTAATCCAAAAGAATGGGTGTAAAAGAAACTAACTAAAAGTTAACACAATATACTTTTTTGAAATTTTAGGTCAAAAGTATTGTGAGTTGGAATAAATTAAGACAAAGAAACCTATGGCTTGGAGTGTGATATTTATATTAAAAATATTTCAAAGTGGCATTAGACCCAACTCACTCACTCACTAAATGAAAAATCATAAGTAACTCCCCTTTCTGTGCAGATTTCAACAACAAAAATACTGCTTAAATTTGGTAACACAATGGTAAGAAAATGTGTACTTGTTTGATTCCATTTCACATTTCTGAAGTTTCGATGTGTAAACCATGTAATTAATACAAGCAATGCCTTCAGGTGGTGATACTGTGGGAGTTATCTTAATGCAGTGGTGATTGACACCACTGCTCAAACAGTTACGTTGCTAATGACTGTTGGAAATGAAGGTTATAGAAACATTTGCTCACCAAGTAAATAGCAATATTATGACGGAGCATCTGGTGACCATAATCAAAATAGTTATTAAATAGGTAGATGTGTAATATTTTTGTTAACATTTCTGTAAAAGAGCTCTGTAATGAAATGGAGTCCGTTCTGAATTATTAGGAGTTATCAGCAGAGACACTAGCAACTGCCATGGATGCAGAGAGCCTGGGTCATCGTCAGTTTTAATATTACAGTCACCATGGAAACTGTTACTGCCATTTGTATGTCTGTGGAACTCCTGTTGTTATTTGTTATAGTGTTTACCATTATGCTTTTGTTTGCTGCGTTGTGAAATTAGTGTTATGCCATGTGACAGGCCGTGTTATGTCTGTGGTTCTGTTGAAACAATGATATCAGTGGTATGGGTGTATTGTCCATTTGGCAACTTTGTTGACCATGGAAAGTCAGTGAGAAGTAAGTACCAGTGTTATCAGAGTGAGGGCGTTGTGATATCAGTGTTGAGACATGTGATATCAGTGTTAAGACACAGTGATATCAGTGTTAAGACATGGTGATATCAGAGGACATGTTGATATCAGTGTTAAGACAGTGATATCAGTGTTAAGACATGGTCATATCAGAGGACATGTTGATATCAGTGTTAAGACATGAAGATATCAGTGTTAAGACATGGTGATATCAGTGTTAAGACATTGTGATATCAGTGTTGAGTCATAGAGATGTCAGTGTTCAGACATGGAGATATCAGCGTTAAAAACAGTGATATCACTGTTTGATAAGACATTGTGATATCAGTGTTAAGACAGTGATATCACTGTTAAGACATGGTGATATCAGTGTCAAAGCATGTGATATCGGTGTAAAGACATGGTGATATCATTGTTACGACATGTTGATATCAGTGTTAAGACATGGTGATATATGTGTTAAGACACAGTGATATCAGTGTTTTAAGAGATACTGTGATATCAGTGTTATGACATGATGATATCAGTGTTATGACATGATGATATCAGTGTTATGACATGATGATATCAGTGTTAAGACATGATAGCAGTGTAAAGAAATGGTGTTACTATTGCTGGTGATACATCATGTTTATATCATTGTTATACCATGTTTATATCATTGTTATACCGTGGTAATATCAGTGTTATTTCATGTTGAAATCAGTGGCGCTTCACGTATTCAGACAAGCTGTATCATGGTGCAACAAAGTTGTTTTAATATCAGCATAATGCCGTGGTGAGATCAATCTTATACCATTTTGGTTTCCATATATACCATGTTTTAAACCTCAAATTGGATGGCTCAAAAGCATTAAGTCAGATGTTATGGATACATATATCACGTGTAAGTACATACTTTTTCAAATACTGTTAGGGGAAGTTACAAACAAACAGGACAGATGAGACCAACATATTAGCATGGTAATTGCATTTGTGTTCAATATCAATATGTAAATGTCAAAATGTAATAGAGAAAGGAGAGTCGTAGATGCATGGTTTGCTACATTAATGTTGATATCTTTTGGAAAAAAACATGCAGGCTATTTGTTTCATCTGAAAGATAACAGTTGGTAATAAGCCAGGGACAGGGATTCCCAGCTAAGTGCCCTTGCCAGGAAATTTTCAAATAAAATATTGTTACTTTGCTCAAATTGGTCAGTGAAAGACAAGTCGTGTACAAAGCCATAGCATGAGTTATTACTACAATAACATAAGATCTTGGTGCTTGCAACAGCATTACAAAAATCTGAGGACATCCCATTTCGGGTCATGTCAGAACAACCTTTCACAAACTTTGATCGACCAGTGAAATGGACTGCCTCCGTGGTCTAGTTGTAGGACATCTGCCTGGAGAGCGGAAATGTCCGGTTTTCGATCCCCTGCTGTGTCATTCCAAAGATGGTACTTGTTGTTACCCTGCCTGGCGCTTGGCATGATGGCGCTAAAACATTGACTGATTGGCTCAGAGTCAGTATACCGTGTCTGAGTGGAGTATTCATCTTAAACTGCGGCATGGTATCTCAGTGGGCTAGTACTATATAATTGGCATCAGTCCGTTCTAGTACAAGCAGCCACACACACACACACGTGCATGCACGTCGCTATATAAGTGCAATAATCTTGGACGCGACTTTAAACCCAATTTCACCTCACCTCACCTCACCTCAAAAACGTGCATGCACGTCACTATGAAAGAGAATCATCTTGGACGTGATGCTAAACCCCATTTCAACTCACCTCACCAGTGAAATGACGAACAGTTATTCAACATAAGCCAATCAGAAAGCAGCTTTAGAGCCCAAGTTTCAAAATGGTTCCTTCCATTCCATTATGCTCTGAATAATAATTTTACAAAGTTGTGGATTCAAAATTTAGAAGTGAACAAAAGAAAATTCTGAAATGTTTAATATGTGGCCAAGAGTGTATGGTTATTCTGACAATACCTGTAATTGGGTGTCCTCAGATCTTTGCGAGCTGTAGTGAGTACTAAGATCCGATTTCCACTACTGCAGTGTGTTCACATCACTGATTAATAAAGAACTGTATTAACAGTGAAGACGCTGTGAAATATTAACTAATCGATAGAGGATAAGGGACAGTACTTTATCAGCATGTGACGTTACGGCTGTGAGAGGATAAGAGACAGTACTTTTTCGGCATGTGATGGTACGACTGTGAGAGGATAAGGGACAGTACTTTATCGGCATGTGACAGTACGGCTGTGAGAGGATAAGGGACAGTACTTTATCGGCATGTGACGGTACGGCTGTGAGAGGATAAGGGACAGTACTTTATCTGCATGTGACGGTACGGCTGTGAGAGGATAAGGGACAGTACTTTATCTGCATGTGACGGTACGGCTGTGAGAGGATAAGGGACAGTACTTTATCTGCATGTGACGGTACGGCTGTGAGAGGATAAGGGACAGTACTTTATCGGCATGTGACGGTACGTCTGTTGGAGGATAAGGGACAGTACTTTATCGGCATGTGACGGTACGGCTGTGAGAGGGTAAGGGACAGTACTTTATCGGCATGTGACGGTACGGCTGTGAGAGGATAAGGGACAGTACTTTATCGGCATGTGACGGTATGGCTGTGAGAACAAAGTCCTTTCCAACTGTTCCTGTTTGTCCTGATAAAGTACTGTGATGAGTCCTCTGTCTGTCTTGGGGTACAGGGGCCCAGTTGTCTTAGTTGGCCTGCTTCTCTGTGCAGAGTTGCGTCCCTTGGAAATGCCAGAAACCTTTGATTGTGGGTTCGAATCCCGGTTCGCCCCGATTATGTTTCTAGGTTTGTCAGCACCATACCCGTGCTCGTGGATTTCACTGAAGTGGTAAACGTCTGCGACCTGCATCACTTCAGGCTTTCCTCCCACATTAAGCTGACATGCCGCAATATAACTTGAATACTGTTAAAAGCGTCATTAAAACCCAACTCACTCACTCACTCTGTCCGACTTAGAGCACAGCCAAATACTTGAGTTCCAGAGATAACATATGAGCATATGTAGTCAACAGCAGTGATAGACACAGCCCCTAGTCCCTCCGTCCGAGACCAGTGAACATCAAGAGGGACTAGTTGTTATCTCCCCAAACCTAGTTATTTTGCATGAACAACTTGTCTGAAATGAGCTAGGACGAGTTGGATATGACCAACCCCTGGAACAGCTTGCACAAACAACACTTTTTGCTTTCCACTCAAGTCCACAGACAGGTGGCCCAAGTGTGTGTGTAAGTCTTTATGTCCATGCAGCTTGAGTAACATTGACATTAAAATAAAAAGAATGTCGATGACAGAAAATAACAAGTCTCGATTATCAACCAAAACAGATTCCATTGGGTGTAAATCCAAAGTAGCGCTGAAGACTATGTGAATAGATCATTGAAAACCAGTGATGACCTCACAAAGGGTATGGAAAGCCATTATTGGGATATGATTGTACCACACCAGACCACAGGATGAATGCCAATAGGCACAGTCTTTAGTGGTGCTTTTAAGTCCAAGATGTTCACTGTAACAATAGCTCATGTCTCAGAGAGACTATGCATTGCAGTACCTGTCATATCTTCAAAGGGCATTTCCTTATTTTGTTCCAGACTATTAGTGTTTATAACAATGGGATTTGAATAGTATGAAAGGCGATTTTTCTATTATTTAGATACTAACTTCATTGCATATTAATAACATCTCATTGGATTGATCTAAGGATGAAACATCAGCGCCAGAGAACAGTCAGTCTTGGTTATCTGCAATAACAGATTCATTTCGACGTAAATGTGAAAATAGTGATGAAAAATCTGTAAATTGATCCTTGAAAATCAGTGATGACACAAGGAGCTTGCGAAAAGGGTAAGCATGCCCGGAAGTACCTGCCACTCACAAAATTTGCATGAGAAGGTAAGAGTTTG